ACAAGCTGCCAAGCTTGGCGGTGTTCATTCGGACGCTGTCTTTCCGACAGCCCTGTTCTTCACCCGAGGACGGCTGCTTGCGTTGTGGCCGAAACCTCGTGAGAATTTAATGTTGTATTTTTATTATTTTATTATTTCACTTCTACGTGACTTTACCGAAAGAACCAAGAAGATGAATCCCTGCATTCACGAAAGCTTTAAATCGAAATTCGATCACTGGTGCATCACCACCCACCCCCTTCACGAACCCGCATTGACCAGTGTGGTGAAGTATGACAAAACTAAACCTGGACCCACTCGGCCTTTGGGGAGGCCTTCATCCAACAGTACTGTAGATTGATAAAGAACGGTGGAGTGCTGTTATGATTTCCTGTACTCACTCAGCTTAATGAATGGAGTCTAAGAGAAGACGGTTAAGGGAGTCACGTGGAAGACAGAAATCTGAGGAAGCTTCAGAGTGCACGTTCCATTAGTGTGGAACCCAGCCAAGATTAAGTCCTCACAGCCAGAAGCCTTCCAAGACTTTCCAAATCGATGGAATCAATGGCATTCTTTATTTAGAAACGGGTGGAACCCACTGAGCGTGATATGATCTTCCCTTTGGGCCGCACGTAGGGGATATACACTCTTGCACATCGTGTTTAATCCAGGAAAAGTCCCACCGAGTTTCAAGATATTTTATTTTTTATGTTTTTTACAGGATGGTCCTGCTACATTGGGATGCCTGGAACGTGAATTCTATCAGGAATGAGAGCGTGGCTTTCGCGTGGGAGAGAAACCCGAAGAAACCCAGCACCATGCTGAATACGAAGGGGGGGGGGGGTGACGCTCACAAGCTCCGCAAAGATAGATGCAAGAATTCACTCACGTACTGATCGCTTCGTCTCATCCATACCGAATTCAACCATCGGACAGTTGTCGTTCGGTCACCACTCACACATTCACCCGATGCAATGCTCACTCACCCCACACACCCACCCACTCATTCACCCACTCGCTATTTCACTCACCCACTCATCCATTCACTCACACACTAACTCACTCGTTCATTCACTCACCCACTCACTCATTCGCTCATTCACTCACCCATTCACCCACCCACTCACTCACCCACTCGCTCATTCACTCACCCACCCACTCACCCACTTGCTCATTAACTAACCCAATCACCCATTCACCCACCCACTCACTCACCCACTCGCTCATTCACTCACCCACTCATCCATTCACCCACCCACCCACTCACTCGCTCATTCACTCACCCACTCACCCACCCACTCACTTACCCACTCGCTCATTCACTCACCCACCCACTCACCCACTTGCTCATTAACTCACCAATCACCCATTCACCCACCCACTCACTCACCCACTCACCCAATCACCCACCCACTCGCTCATTCACTCACCCACTCATCCATTCACTCACTCACCCACCCACTCACTCATTCACTCACCCACTCACTCACTCATTCACTCACCCACTCACTCACTCACCCACTCACCCACTCACTCACCCACTCGCTCATTCACACTCCCACTCACCCATCCACTCACCTACTCACTCACCCACTCGCTCATTCACTCTCCCACTCACCCATCCACTCACCTACTCACTCACCCACTCGCCCACTCACCCATTCACTCACCCATTCACCCACCCACTCACTCACCACTCGCTAATTCACTCTCCCACTCACCCATCCACTCATCTACTCACTCACCCATTCGCTCATTCACTCACCCACTCACCCATTCACCCACCCATTCACCCACTCACTCACCCACTCGCTAATTCACTCTCCCACTCACCCATCCACTCACCTACTCACTCACCCACTCGTTGATTCACTCACCCATTCACTCACTCACCCACCCACTCACCCACTCACTCACCCACTCACTCGCTCATTCACTCTCCCACTCACCCATCCACTCACCTACTCACTCACCCACTCGCTCATTCACTCACCCACTCACCCATTCACCCACCCATTCACTCACCCACTCACTCACTCACCCATTCACTCACCCACTCACCACACTTCAGGTCACAAATTGTCTCTTTTAGTTTCTTCCCTCGCACTGCTCCACTACGAAATTTCAGCCTCCGATCGTCGTCTAATTTTATCTAACTCTTTCAATAATAACCTTGCTTAATTAATTACTGTACACTCTAATCTACAACTTTTAACGGCGCTGTCTATTGCTGGCCGCTTGGCGTTCTGGATGTAAACATTTTTTTTCAAGTCACCATCCTACGGAGAGACTGGCCCTCGTATTGGGAATGTGGAATTTCCACTCTCGTCTCGGGCCTCCCGAGCCCAACGTTGCCGCCTGCAGTAAAGCGACGGCTTCTGCAGAGGTCACCGCAACCGTCTGAGAGAGATAGGGGGGGTGGGGGGCGGGGTAAGGGGGGCGGGGCATTAAACCCGGCCCACCCCCCTCTCGCAAACGGGTTTCGATTCCTTACCCGTACCCGGCCGCACCAGGGTCGCAAACGGGTACCCGTACCCGGCCGTACCCGTACCCTACCCGTACCCGGCCGGGTAGGGTACGGGTATCGGGTACCTGATTGCGACCTCTGAGATGAAGCCATGTTGCAGGCGCGGGTGGGTTGATTCTAGGAACTTGAATTGTGAGAAGAGACAAGACGTTGGGAAATGAGTGACAAACGGTGACTCACCAGTGACTCACGGCCTACCCGTATCCGGCCGCACCAGGGTCGCAAACGGGTACCTGTACACGTACCCGGCCGGGTATGGGTAGCCGGGTATCGGGTAGGGTATGGGTATCGTGTACGCGGTTGCGACCTCTGCTCTCTCTCTCTCTGTGTGTGTGCTCCTTCACTCAACATTGCCTTGGAACGCACGCGAGGGGGGAGGGGGGAGGGAAGGAGGGGGGTGTGGGGGGTGGGGGAGCGAATCAGTGACGTCACAATGCAACTCGGCACGAGCGAGCGCGTGCGCGTGCCGTCACAATCACGTGGTTGCAGAAGTTCACCCGGTAGCCCTAAACACCGTTCTAGTTTTGTAAATAGATGAAGGGGTTTTTTTGTTTTGTTTAGAGAGAGAGAGAGACAATATTCTAGGTGCATAGCCTTGCCAAGAGTGGGGGGGGGAGGGGATCAGACAGACGATCGAGTCATTTGGGTTGACGCAAAGTTGTAAACAATTTGTTTTTGTCTTTCCTGTAGACGATTACTCACGAGTTCATTCATGTTAATCTTTATTACGAACACTGGTGGAGCCAGTGGGGGGGGGGGGGGGGGGTGGGACGGGTCGCGGTGTGGCGGTGGCAGTACAGCAAGCGGGGATCGTGACCCATCGTGCGTCCTTGGGGCCGTCCATAAATGACGTCACGCGATTTTGGACGATTTTTGAGCGCCCCCCCCCTCCCCTCGTCACACGGCGTCACACAAAGTCAGACCCCCCCTCAAATATGACGTCACAAATCTCTGCCCCCCCCCCCCTAAAACCATATTTCCATTTAGAAAATAAAACATGCTTCAAATCGCTTTCAACTATTGTCATTGTAGTGCGTATTTAATGTACCGCTGCACTCTGATGTTGTAGGAGAAAACATTTATTAAAAAGTATATTTAATTAAGCAGAACGTGTTGGCTATATTTATTTAAAGTTGCGCATTTTGATGTGACGTCACATTTCCCAAACCCCCCCCCCCCCCTCGTCACAAATGTCTGACCCCCCCCCCCTCGCCAAGATGCGTGACGTCATTTATGACCGGCCTCCTTCACATTCTCACTCGAGATGCGGTAAGCGGACAGGACCAATCCATGACCACCGCCATCACACAATCTCTAGTGTCGGCGGCATCGCGCTGGTCGCCATGGGGACTGGTGCAAAAAAATTAAAGATGCCCCCCCCGCCCCCCCAAACTGCTCTCCAATTTTGCTCCGTCTTCTTCGGCAGTCCAGCGCGCCTGGGATCACCCTCCAGCCTGTGCACGGTTGCATGTACTGTGCTGAACTTTCGATTTAAAACTTTCGTGACTGCAGGGATTCATCTTCTTGGTTCTTTCGGTAAAGTCACGTAGAAGGGAAGTAATAAAATAATAAAAATAAACAATAAATTCACTGTCTTTCCAACAGACCTGTTCTTCACCTGAGGACGGCTGCTTGCGTTGTGGCCGAAACTTCGTGAGAATTATTTTATTGCTTTATTTTTATTATTTTATTATTTCCCTTCTACGTGACTTTACCGAAAGAACCAAGAAGATGTGCTGAACTTCTTTCACACCGTACGTAGCCAACCGTGCAAACCGGCGGCTGCCGCCGCTGGCCTCTGCAACTCGGGGCCGTCTTCCCAGTCGCGGCTCGGCTCCGGATCGGCTTAAAACGATGCCGAGTCGGGTTCCAAAGATGCACGAGTGGCTCAGTGCTGGCTCGGCTCTGGCTCTGGCTCGGCTCTGGCTCTGGCTCTGCTCTGGCTCTGGCTCCGGCTCGGCTCTAGCTCGGCTCTGGCTCTGGCTCGCTTGTCGTCGCAAAGGCGAGATGTTAACTACCTCACCTGGTGTCCCCGCAAGTCGTGGGTTCGATCCCGACCCCCGACGCCCGTTCTCCCCGTGGTCGCGTGTATTTCTCTCCGGGTTTTCCCCTCCACATTTAGAAACGTACGGTTCAGAGTATTTGGCTGCTAAAAACGTCCACGTGACAAGCCACTTCGTTGAGTTACCGTTTGTGGCCAGGTTTGCTTCTGGAAAGGAAAAAAAGAGCTGCTATATAGCTCAGTGGACCTTACCTGGTAAAATAAAAAAGTGGTTTAGCTTAATTTTAGTTTAAGTCAAGCCGGCTCACTTGAGCCTTGAGGCAAGCCTGAGTCGAGCCCGGACTCGGGATACTGGGCCGAGGCTGTCAAAACCTGTAACGTGCCAGCCAAGGCTCCAGCAGACAAACTCCAACGGAGGCTCTCGCTCATGTGCCACACACACAAACAAAAAAACACACACACACAAAACACCACACAAAAAACACAAATCTAAATCCATTCCCGAAAGTCCCGTGCGTCGGACGGAATGTTCAAGTTTTGGAGTGTGGAAATTCCACACGCATACAGGTCGCGGGTCCAAGTGAGGAATTCCACCACTGATTTAGAAGAAAAAAACATAAGTCTTTTAATAATGATTTCACTCGGTACACTTTGTGCGTGGTGACCGACGCCGGAACTGTAAGAACGTGTAGGCGGACGTCGTGTTTTACAGCTGGAGACAGTTGATCGGTAACTGTGTTTATAGACGGGGGGGGGGGGGGGCAGCTTCCTATTATCGACAACCCACCACCACCGTGCAGCCAATCGGCTCATGTGCAGCCGCCCGAGGTGTGGATTGTTGCGGCGGCTTGGGGGAGGCCTTCATCCAGCAGTGGATTGAGCACAAGATGACGATGATGACGACGACGATGATGATGACCGTACCATCATTAATAAACAATTGCGTTGGACAAGAGCGTGGCGTGAGGGTCCATGCGGAGAGGACCGGGAATTTACCTTTATGCAAAGCTTACAATACTATTTCTGAGCTTTACACCAATCCGTACGTTTATCCAACGCCTACAAATAAAAATGTACGCAAAGTACCACCCGTGCGTGTCCGGCGATTTTTTTTTCTGTACGAGTGTTGGGAGCAGTGGCGTAGCAGAGCTCGCTGCGTGGTTCCGTGAACCCGGAGCACCTGGATCCGATTCCTGCCCATGGTGGCAATCGTTAAGATAACCTGCATTCGGCCTCCCCAAGGCAGACTCAGCCTGAAAAAGAGCATTTAATGGGGTGTTGTGAACACCACCAGCACTCGGGAGACAAAGGCGGACAGGCGCCGTGATGGCCACGCCAATCCTCTCGCGTGTCGTGCTCGCCTTAATAGGTGTCCGCTAACAGCACTTGCCCCAACAGTCTAAAAACCTACACAAGAGAGGAAGCGCGGCGATGTCCGTGTGGCTCTGAGCGAGGGCGAGGATTAGAGGCAGCGTGCGGATTCGACTCGGGCTTAGGGTCACAGCGTCACTGGCCGAGAATCAAGTGGATAGTTTAGTCGGGGGACAGGGCAAGGGTCACGATGCGGATCGCTTAACGATTCCAAAAGCCAGCGACCGGTACATGGATTTCGGTGAAATGTTAGTCGTCACGAATGCACCGATCGGCACGAGCCAACGGACGAACCGCACGGCAGCGTAAGCCACCGTTGCGGTACATTAACCGGAAACTTCTCAATTCAAAGGAAAACTGCGCGGGCCCTGCAACTACTACGCCTGGGCTCACTCACGCCACCGCTAGCGGACGGCGCCTCCGCCGAAGAGGCAGCTGCCGAGGGGCATTCGGTCCGACTCTTCGACGCCGACCCGGCGTCTTGGAGAGGTGAACGTAAGCCCCCAAACGCACCTCGACCTTGCCGATGGACTGTGCCAGAGCCTTTTAAACACCGCTGGGTGGACCAGAGACGGTGGGGGATTTGAAGAAACTCTCCGCGTTGTTTCGCGCCGGGAGATGGAATCTAAGCGGCGACCTCTGGGTTGCAGGTCCGTTGTGATAATCGCGACTCCACTGCCGCAGCTCCCGTCGTTTCTCAGTAAAATTACGTTCATTGCTCTAGTCCAGCGGTAGCTAATACGTGGAAGGGCGATCTGCGTTTTTTGTTGTAGATCTCAGGACAAATCAGAACCAAAACAATGACAAGAAAAAAAGCACAAAATTTTCACTTTGGCTAAAGGGCAAATAAAATAAAAAATCCCCGACAAAGAATTCCTACATTTATTTACTTCTTCCAATAGATGGTGCGAGTACTTTATGTCTGTAGCATATAACATGGCTAACTGTGTCGGGGTAATGTTTGTTGGTCATAGCTTTCTTGTGGTGGATCGTGGAGACAGTTGGGGTCCACCACAGTGGATCACAGTGCTTGGGTGGATCGGACACACCACCGATACAAGAGACGTTCTGAACGTGCGTGGCTGAATAACGGTAGCCGGTCTTTCATCGCCTCTTCACGCGATGGCCCAGTCATGCAAGAAATCCAACTCTGGTATCACGGTCACTGTCAGCGTCACAACGAGAACCTGCGTCAGATGCGGGGGGGTTGTCAGGGTTAGGGTCAGGGTCAAGGCCTCGCGAATGCCCCCCTAAGCCAGCCAAGTGTCACAGTCAGGACTAACGCTTGGGGGTAGGATCACGGTTTCGGTGAAGAACCAGTGCCAGGGTAAGTGACCGAGTCTCGGGGCGCGGCGGCCAAGATCGGCAAGCGTCAGCGTCAGCTGGGGCTCGTATCATGACCCAAAGATACGGTCGAGCCCAATGTTTCAAGGTCAGGGTGAGGGTCAGTAGTCGGTGGCTGCCATGTGAGTGAAGAGTCAAGCTCACACCAGAGCGCGGTGAGGGGTGGGTCAGCGCTGCTGAGCCAGGAGCTCGTGGGTCGCGTTCGGGGTCCGAGTCGGCGCCCCGCGCTCGGCTTCTCAGTGGCAGAGCGAGAGTGGCGATGAGGGTCGCTGGCTCACGGTCAAGGTCAAAGCCCGAGGTCAAAGGGTCACTGGCTGTCGTCGGCTGAGTCGACGGGCGAGGCCGACCTGGCGGAGGCTGGGGGGCTGCCCGAGCCGTCTCGCTCAGAGCCCGACACCGCCGCCGCCTCCTCCTCCTCGTCGTCGTCATCGATGTTGCCACGCCGACGACGCCCTGCCGAGGCCCCCCCCACCGCAGCCTCCTCGTCCTCGTCGGAGTTGCTGCCCCCGCGTCTCCCACCGTCGTCGTCGTCGTCGTCACGGCCGGCGCGTCCTCCCTCGTCCTCCGATGAGGAGTGGGCGGATCTGAGTGGCGCAGAGGCGGAGGAAGGGTTGCCATCGTCAGAATTCTCAACTGCCGCGACATTGGGGTTAGTCCGCAACTCTCATCGCGCTCTCCTGCCTCTCCCCTCTCATCTCACTCTACTCCCCTCCACGCACTCTCCTGCCTCTCCCCTCACTCTACTCCCCTCCACGCACTCTCCTGCCTCTTCCCTCTCACCTCACTCTACTCCCCTCCATGCACTCTCTTGCCTCTCCCCTCTCATCTCACTCTACTCCCCTCCACGCACTCTCCTGCCTCTCCCCTCTCCCCTCACTCTACTCCCCCCCTCCACGCACTCTCCTGCCTCTCCCCTCTCACCTCACTCTACTCCCCTCCATGCACTCTCCTGCCTCTCCCCTCTCACCTCACTCTACTCCCCTCCACGCACTCTCCTGCCTCTCCCCTCTCACCTCACTCTACTCCCCTCCACGCACTCTCCTGCCTCTCCCCTCTCACCTCACTCTACTCCCCTCCTCCATGCACTCTCTTGCCCCTCCCCTCACTCTATTTCTTTGTTTCACTTGCCAGGTAAGGCCCACGTGGCTCTTTTTCAGAAGGGACATGGCAACTAATGATAGCTCGACGATCACACTCTGCTCCACTTCACGCACACTCCTGCCTCTCATGTCGCTCTGGATGGTCGGTCGGGCCACCCAATTCTATTACCAACATAGACACATATCCATATATATATCTACTTCCATTCGTGTATTTCAGTGCCCCGGATTGGCCGGAGGCGCCGTCTCACCGCGAGCGACGGCTGCCGGCGTCGCTGGGCGCACGGGGGCTCTGCCCGCCGCCGCCGCCGTCCGATTCGCTGTCCGACACGAGGCGTTGACGCTGCTGCTTGGGGGCCTCATCCCCGTCGGAGTCCGAGGCGGAGCCGCTCGCCTTGCCCCTGTCAGTGGCAGAGGGGGACGGAGGGGGACGGAGAGGGGACACAGGGAGAGGGATGAGGAGCGAGGGACAAGGGGGAGAGAAGATAGAGAGTGGGGAGAGAGTTACAGGGAGACCGTGACACCGAGACAGACAAGGAGAGAGACACAAACGAGGAGAGACAACAACAACAACACGGCAACAGCCGCCATTCGCCACCAAGTGGCGGTGACGTCACCACGGTGCCTGTGCCAGGTCAGGTGCACTTTGAGGACATGTGAAGAAAGAGAGACGGGGAGACACACACATGCAGAGAGACAAAAAGAGACACAGGGAGAGTTACACATGTGATGAGGTGGACGGGGCTGTAAGGTCACGGGCGGGTGAGCAGGTGGAGCGGGTGGAGTGGGTGAGTGAGCGAGCGAGCGGAACGGGTGGAGTGGGTGAGTGAGCGGGTGGAGCGGGTGAGTGAGCGGGTGGAGTGGGTGAGTGAGCGAGCGAGCGGAGCGGGTGGAGTGGGTGAGTGAGCGAGTGAGCGGGTGGAGCGAGTGAGTGAACGAGCGAGCGGGTGGAGTGGGTGAGTGAGCGAGCGAGCGAGCGAGCGAGCGAGCGGAGCGGGTGGAGTGAGTGAGTGAGCGAGCGGAGCGGGTGGAGCGGGTGAGTGAGTGAGCGAGCGGGTGGACAGGGTTGGACACGGACCCCTCGTCGGCGATCTTGAGGGCGTCGTCGTCCGAGGAGTCGTCGCTCGACGAGATGATGGCCTTCGACTTCACCTTCTTCATCATGGCGGCCGACAAGCGCTCGCCCTTCGCCTCCTGCCAAGTGAAGCAAAGACGAAAATAATTTTGTCATTTTTAGATAATAATGTGCAAATACTACTTGCGCTGTTCCTATGGTCCACACGTTAGGTGCGATCCCAATACAGAAAATTCGGCAAACGCGGGCATGACGGTCGGCCCGCAGCCTCGAACGACGTCACCGAGGTTCTGAACGTCCACCGCGAAAGAAGACGGCGCGTTGCGTCCCACGGTCGATACGCTCGTCGCAGTATTAACCGGGGCGGCCTGCCGCGGCCGAACCGCGAACCTCTGCAGGCGTGCCGCCACCTCGGCACTGGTTCGGCTATCGTGCCAAGCCACCGCACACGTCAGCCGTGGCCAGGAATCAAAGCCGGGTGGCTGGGTTCATAGCGCGGCACGCGCTAACTACTGCGCCACCACTGCTGCCCGCAGCCCACCCCCCTCCCACCAATTATTCGTCTTTTTCAGTCTACGCATTTAACGCCTCGCCTCTTTGCGCTGCCGCTCCTTCTTCTGCGGCTGCTTGCGAGGTTTCTTGGAGCGGGGGGCCCCATCATCCTGGCCCCTGCACACGCGCGTGCGCACACACACACACGTGCACACTAAGGTTAACGCACACGCAAGCGTTTCAGCAACCCACACCCACGCGCACCAACGCGGAACCACGTAGCAGTGCGGCCTGGCCCCACGTCCCTCAGCGTGCACTGCCACCACTCGCCCCCATGACGATGCCGTGCCCCAACTACCTCCGACCACCACCAAACACCACCAAACACCACCGACGCGTGCCTAAGAAACCTAACATTGAAAGAAGTTAGCAAGGCAAATGACCAACCAATCAAATTACTTGCCAACCCACGTAACCGGACTATTTGGTGCTGCGTGAGCACAATTAATTATTAAAAGAACTCGGCACGTTCCGTCAATAACACCGTGTGGCCTTAAAAGGCCAAAAATATACATTAGCTGACGTTTTGGGCAACAGCCCTCCTTCATGGCAACGGACGCGTCGAGTGTTTTTTACATAAGCGGAGCAGAGCGTTTGGGTCCCTAGAACATTTGAGCTCGGCGTTAATGTGTGCACCACATTGCACCCGTGAGGCCAATTTGTGAGATAAAATTTTTTTTATCAGATCGACTCCGCCAACTGGCATTTACTTGATTTATTTTTCTCCGCTGCAAATTATATTCCCGGCTGTGGCGTCACCTCGCTATCACACGAGCGCCTGGGTTTAATCGCGGGTGCCTGCAACCCGCATTAAAAAACCGTCATCTCAAGTGGCTTCGGACGACGCACGGCAACGTGGAAAAAACAGCGCCCAGCCTCTACCCATTGTGTGCAAAAAGCATCGGCTGCTTCCTGAAGAAGTGGACTATGGTCCCCCCCCCCCTTCGTTTTTACGAGATCGATCGGCATCGAAATCTATTTGAGCCAATGCGACCGACTGACTCGCACACCCCGACCCTTCACAAAACCCTATGAGACCGCACTGGCAATTTGTTTTACGCTGTTGCAGAGCATGTTGCGTATCTGGAATTACAATTACAAAGTCAAGGCGTACAGCATCTCATTATTATTTTATTATTATGCATTCCGCTTGATCGCCCAGGAAACCCTCACTGAGTCTCGTGACCTCTTTTTCAGGAGGGTCCTGAAAAACTTTCGCAGTGGGGGGGGGGGGCGATGATTGTGGTGCTGTGCAATCCCAAATGAGTAATTTTGAGCGCCTAACTGCAAATGAATCTCGAGGTGCCATACATTATTAAAACACTGTTATAGACTGTCTTTTTTTCTTCTACGTAACGTTTTTCTGCAATCGGTGAGGACTACTCGGTGAATTTGACATGTCCGCAACCTTGATCAGAATTCACGTTTTAACTTTATTCAAGGGGCGACTGTGACTCTGGTGAGTTGTTGCTCAAGTCGCCCACTTTACACTCCCACCCCCGGCCTCCTGCTTGCGTGTTGTCGGTCGGCAGGGAGCCCAAGTAGAAGGAGAGCGACTCAAGCAAGAACAACAACAGGTGACTAAGTGGCACGCGCAGTCGCACCCCGATACAGTTAAAGACTGCCGACAGGATAGGCGAGGTTCTGCCAGCACCGATCGCATCAAGGGGAAGTTCTCTGACCTGAACGGGGCTTTCAAACGGGTGAAAAAAAACCAGACGTGCAGGGGGAGAAATGAAAATAAAAGTTAACAAATCAGATTACCCACTCTGGTGGCGGCTCCTGGCCTTACGACCACTGTGGATGGGAAAACATCGCACGGACGCACGCACGCACGCACGCCACACACAGAGACCACGCCGTTAGTGCGAGTGTCACATTGCATGGCTGTAGAGGCAGCTGTGTGTGTGCCAGCACCAAAGTAATAACAGACCCACCACCTTCGTCGTCAACACTAGCCCAGAAGCCAAGGGGTCGATGCCATTTGGGGTGGAAAATGCTCCCCCAGTACCCACCACTGGAAGTGCCCACCATGGGCAGTGTCTCTGCGACACGCAGCCCGTCTCTCTCTCACACACACACACCCCCCATTTCTCAAACACATCACCACTCTCACACACACAAACACAAAGACTAGCCTTAACAGACTGTTGTGGCGAGAGCTGGTTTGCGAGTACCTGTGAAGGCTGGCACGGCACACAAGGGGGTGGGTGGCTAACACCACGCCCGGCTACCTTTGTCTCCCTAGTGGCAATGTTTTTTACACACTGCACCAGATACTCATTTGAGGCTGAGTCGACGTAGGGGAGGTCCAGGACCGGTTTCGATAATCGTCACTGATGTTGGCCGTGAGCGAGAATCGAACTCGAGTCGCCAGCGGTCGTAGGCCAGCGCGCTATCCACTACACTACGGCTCGCACACACGCAGCCCCCTCTCACACACACACACGCACTTCCAATTAGCACAGTTGGCTACGCAGTGCGAAATAAGTTCAACATACATACACACATGCAACCCCCACCTCTCACGCACAGCGGCAGACTCGCAGACATGCAGCGCCAGACTCGCACACACAGCCCCTCGCACACACAACCTCTACCCCTTACACACAGCCCCCGTCTCTCATAGACACAAGGCAAAGATAAAGACCCCCCCCCCCCCCGTGTAGCCTTAACAGACTGTAGGGGCAAGTGCTGTTAGCGAGCACCTATAAAGGCCGGCACGGCACACGAGGGGGTGAGTGGCCACCACCACGCCCGGCCGCCTTTGTCTCTCTAGTGGCGATGTTTGCACATCGCACCAGGTACTCATTTCAGGCTGAGTCGACCGAGGGGAGGCCCAGGATCGGTTCAGATAATCGTCACTGGTTTTGGACGCGAGCGGGAATCGAACCCGGGTCGCCAGGTTTATAGCGCAGCGCGCTAACCGTTACACCACCGCTCCCCACATATTACCACTCTCTCTCACACACACAGGGCCAGACTCTCTCACACACACACGCAACTTATACCTCTTACGCACCGCTCCTCTCTCACACACACAGGGCCCCTGTCTCTCACTCACACACATCACCAGCCAGACACAGAACTCCGCTCTCTCCCACAGACACTGACCCTCGCTTGCGACTCCTCTCCCCGTCGGTGCCGTCGCCGCCCTCCCCCTCGCTGCTGCTCGCTCGACGCTGCTTCTTCTTGCGCGCCGTTGGCAGGTCGTCCTCCGAGCCGTCGTTCACAAATTCTTCGTAGTCGGCGCCCTTGCGCCTCTGCGGAACACGACCCCAACTCTCAAGATTCTTAGCTCTTTCGGTAAAGTCACGTAGGTAAAAAATTTAATTAAAATTAATACAAAATAAAAACAATAAAATCACGACGTTAATTTTAATTTCATTTTTTACCTACGTGACTTTACCGAAAGAACTAAGCGTATGAATCCTTGCAGTCACGAAAGCTTCAAATCTAGACTCTCAAGATTCTGTTTGAGGACGCCCGCGAAACAGGTTTAAGCCCGCGACACCACGATTCATGACCGCGTTCCGGTCAAGGACGTGCTAATGACCTAAGTGAGAAGTCGAGTCGGGTCACGCGGTCATTCTGACTTCCCACACAAACACAATGTTACACACAAAGACGTTACGCGCACAGACACAGGTGCACAGCAACAACCAACAACAGACGCCATTTGCCACCATTTGGAGGCGGCAGCTTTACCACGGCGCTCGTGCCAGGCTAGGTGCGCTTTGAAGCCATCATGCGGAGTGCGGAAGTCTCCCCCCGCTGCTGGCAAGTGGTCACCGGGTTATGGGTTGACCGAGACAATCGGAGGGGTACGCACGGGCGCACTACGCGGGCGCCACGCCATAAGGGGCAGTTGCCACTTTGCCCCCCTACCTTGCCGCCGCCGCCTCCGCCCTTGCGCTTCTCGCGCTGGGGCTCGGCGCGCTCGCTGAACACCAGCAGGCCCTTGGTCTTCTCCACAAACTGCGCTCGTGTCTCCAGGAGCTTGCGCTGCTCCTCCGAGAGCCGGCGCCGCTTTTCTTCCTGCGAGTGAAATTAAGCAGACACTTTAGAAAATATCAAATTCATCATCATCATCATCACCATCAATCATCATTAGTCAGCCATGGTCGATCAACTGCTGGATGAAAGCTTCCCCAACACCCACGCCAAAGCCACCACCCGCCCCCCCCCTCTTGCAAACCCCGTGATGCAACAATCCACCCGTCACCTACACGTGGAATCGTTCATTCCTCCATCTCTACAGCTGACGTCCGTTTGGACGCGTTCCATTCCTCGACTGTCACTCCATTATCAGTTTTGACCATCGGCCACCATCCGTTCTAGTCACATTGCTGCTGTACCGCCTTCTCGAGCCATGGTATGGGGGGGGGGGGGGGCTCCTCCTCGACGCCAGAGGGAAGGGAGTCTCGCGAGATCTGTGCGGTGATCCACTTAACCCTCGCTGCTGCTGCCTCTACAGTGCTACGTTTCAGGCAGCCACGTGCGGCACAACCAACACCACCGCCAGGACTCGGCGGAAGAATGAGAAACTTGGTTATCCATTTCCAAACTAATCCTGGCCGCTCTTTTCACGGAATTTGGTTTCATTTTGCACGCGTTTTTTTTTTTTTTACCGCCACCACTGTGCCCACTCAGGAGCTGGTCGGTCGGTCGGCCGGCCGATCTCATTAAAAAGTAAAATATTGATCGGGGATGTCTCCGAGTGCCTGCGCCGAGCGGATGTGGTGTGGCCCTGCCGCGGTAGACAACGATGTCGATGATGTCGTCATTAAAAGCAGCACACACTGGAACCGGTGTTGGCCAAACATCCCCGCGCCGAAAAGATTCACACTGTACATGATACAATTGGGGTCACACACGACAACACCGACACCCCCCCCCCCCCCCTCGACTACTACTGCGAACACTTGGCAGGACCCTCCTTGAAAATGAGTTTTGAGACTCGGAAAGACTCTTCCGGGTGATGTACTGTATGTACGTGGAACTTCTTTTGCACCGTATGTTGCCAACCGTGCTAATAGGAGGTGCGGCTCGACAAGCAGATCAATAATAGGAATAGAATTATGGGAACTGCAGCATGTGGGTACGCGAGTGTGAATTAAATGAAATATTTATTTTTATTCTACATGCAGGGCATCGCGAGCCATCGTGTTCGACAATGGAACCCACGGAAGCAGATGTTACAGAGCTACTTCTTGAGAGCTCTCTTCATCAAGTGACCTCTGTTGCATGCGCACACACACAGCCACTCGCTCTGCATATGACAGTGACGTTCTCCGCATGACAGTCAAACCAAAGCTCAAATTCCCAGCGCTGGACCTCAGCCACATACGGTGCTAAACCACATTAAATTGGTGACGCCTTGACACTATCAACTGACCCCGGCCCCTACTGGACTGACTCGCCCATGCTGGACATTCGTGGAAAAAAAAAGCTTCATAGCTTATCGGATTTCTCGAAGATAAATAAAGATCTCGAGAAATAAATAAAGCCAGTTGAGGTGGTTCGGGCAGCTGGGAAGGATGCCCCTGGTAGACTCCCCCTAGAACTCTACCAGGCAGCACGTCCCACTGGGCGGCCCAGGACAAGCTGGCGGGACTATGTCGCTGGCCTGGGAACACCTGGAAATTGCCCAGGAAGAGCAAGAGTCCGTCGCCAGGGAAAGGGAGGTCTGGACCGCCCCCTACTCAATATGCTGCCGCCGCGACCCTCACAAGGACAAGCGGATTGAGAAACGAAGATAAAGATTCTAAACTCGCTCGACTTGAGAACTTTTTAGTCACAAGCCTGGATTCGAACCCAGGCTCTCAGCGGTGGCGGCTCAGGGCTCTGAGGTGAAGGGACAACAAACTGAACGCAAAAAGCAGTTCTCAGAATTTTTTAAAAGCCCTCCAACGCGCGCTGGCAAGCGTGAGGAAGCGGCGGCGAGCGGCACCTGCTCCTGCATGAGCTTCAGCTTGAGCTCCTCTTTCTCCTTCTCCTGCTTGGCGCGCTGAGAGCGCTCCTCCTCGTCCAGCTTCCTGGCTCGAGACACGTGGTACTGCGCTTGGCTCAGCAGGTCGGCGCACTGCCTGCACGCCCACGCACGAACGCAGGGTGTTAGCGAGCGCCCGTTACCACAGTGTCGAGCGGTTGCAGGAGGGCGTGGGCGAGTGACGGTGGGGTCAATGCCACGCGTACGCGAGGGTTGTTCGTTGTATTCTTAGGTTTTTTCGGTAAAGTCACGTAGGTAAAATGTTTTTATTAATAAAGGTAAAATTTAAATAAAATTAAAATCACGACGTTTCGGAGGCAACACAAGCTTCCGTCTTCAGGTGGAACCGTCACAGCACGGTAGCTGTATCAAGTGAGAGAAATTCTAAGATAACAGTCCTTGTGTATATACTGGTTGAGGGTGGAAGGAGCCAAGGGAGGCCCTGAATATTATTTTTGTGAGGTTCGGTGCGGCTGTTCATTGTGTTCGTTCGTTTGGAAGTAGCTTGGAGTGAATGCGCAAAAGTATTGGAAGACGAAGGCAAAAGTCCCCCGTATAGCCTTCACCATGCTGGCTGGGCAAGTGCTGTGAGCGAGGATCACCGATGAAGGCCAACACAGCTCACGATGGGGTGTTGCGGCCAGCGCCACGTCCGGCCGCATTCATCTCCCGCAGTTTTGATGTTTAAGCACCGCATCAGATACTTATTTGGGAGGCCCAGGAGTAGTTACGGTATCCGTCACCAATGTTGGCATTGAGCGGGCATCGAACTTTGGTCGTCGGATTCGTAGTGCAGTGCGCTAACCGCTACGCTGTCACTCCACAATCGACACACGACCCTCACACACACGCACTACTCACACACGTGATACTGGTAGGAACCTCCTGGTTACACCAGCCCACAGGGGATTATTGTGTCCGTCGTGCAGGGAGGGGCTGGGTGGGGAGAGGCTGGGTGGGGAGGGGACGGTGGGGCTGGGTGGGGGGTGGGAAGGGTGGGGCTGGGTGGGGAGGGGCTGGTCACCCCGTGGTACCCTTATAAAACTCAACGTTTAACCTACTCACGCCGGCTTGTGCCCACCCTCACAGTCGGGCATATTTGCGGAATACACCACGCCGCTGTTGACCCTGGCCATTGACCGAGCAACCCAACGTTCCTACCAGCTCCCTCCGCAGGAGTGTGATTAATTCAGCTCTGACCTGGCTTCAGCTGCCGCCTGGGCCAAGTCGAACTTCATGCGGTCGCCAGACTTGCTCAGGTAGCTGAAGTACCTGCAACACAACAACGCGCACACCGCTTGCAGCCAGCTGAGAGAACGATGAAAATTATCTCACCCAAGAAAATATCAAGGAGTGACAAGGAGAGGGGGAGTCCAGGCTACGTTTTTTGAGAGTTTGGTTTTGCGTGGGAGGAAAACTCGGAGAGCCCGGAGAACACCCACCGCGCGTACGAGGGGGGACAATGTTCGACAGCGTTATCTCCTGGCCACACCTCACAGCCCCACGGCTACCACACCCGGCAAGCCCTGGTGCTCACCCATCGAAAGTAGTAACCGGGCTTAACCTTTCCTTAGCTTCTGAGATCTGATAGGGAACAGTCGCATTCAGGGCGATTCAAAGCGATTCTGTCACGTTAAGTAAGCGAGGGGAAACTCATCAGGCAGTGGAAAGCGTGGTGCCAAATGGGACCCACGGAGACCAGGGAGGGTTGGTCCACACGGAGACCCAAGGGAGGGGGCAATGACCGCTAGTGCTGTACGAATGATTCTTAACAAGTTGTTGAGTGCCGAGATTACTGTTTAAACCAGGTGAGACAAGTAAAGAGACCAGGTTAGGAGTCTAATTTGCAAGAGTGACAAAGGTAAAAACATAAAGATTAAGTATGTACAACAAATCACCGAAGTAGAAACAGGAGCAAAAACAATCTTGTTACAGAAGAAAGTGAAAAACAGTGCACAAACATGAACCAATACTGATTCCGAATACATTTTTGAGTTAGGCCGCAGAACGATCCAACCAAATGTTTGTTGTTAAACCCCTCCACCACCCGACATTGCCAAACACGTTCATATGAACTATTGTAGCTCGCCTATCGGTTGCTCGAAGGAACAATTCCCGCTAAAATGAGATACGGCGCTCCGTTTAATACTGCTCCAGCCAAGCAAGCATCTTCAGATCAGAAACCAGGTGGCCAAAATACAATCCTGGAGGCATTACACAGTTGTCTTATTGTGTCCGACTGCTTCCTGAAGCATCATTTCCAGACCTCGTATTAAACCCACAACTCTGCCCCCGCCTCCCCCCAACGCCCCCCCCGCCCCGCTCCACCCCCCCACCTCTGCGCCAGCTCGAGCTCCTTGACGGCGCTCAGCACGGCCTTGAGGTTGCTCTTCTCGTCACGCAGCACCGACGTGGCGAGACGCTGCAGCACCAGCGCCACGTTAAACATGAGCACGCTGTCGCTGGGCGCCACGTGCCGCGCCTAGTGGGGTCGGCGGGGTCAGTGGGTGGAGGGGGCGGTGGGGGGGGGGGCGGTGGGGGGGGGCAGCAGTGAGGGGGGAACGCAGCAAGGAGAAGAACGTCAAGAATCACCACTGAAAAGCTAAGATGGGGACCCTCCCCATGTGTGCGCGCGTGGGCACGCGCTCTTGCCTTGAGAAGGGTTTGCTTGCACTCGGCCAGCTTGCCGCACTTGAAGTACGCCCGCGCCAGGAACAGGAGGACCTCCGTGTTCTGACACTTGAAGAACTTCTTGAGGCAGTTCTCGTACTGCGGATATCAATCGCGAAGAACGATCAACCGAGGGCAGCAGCGCCTTTGTGCGCAAGTGAATATGGAGCGGTTCTCAGCTCTGTAATAACGACGGAAAAGGATGCAAATACACACAAGACATCGACACTTGTACCCGCCAACATGGGCCGTTGGGGGAGCAGGAGCTGCTTAGCGAGCACCTATGAAGGCGCAATAGGTGTTGCCGTGGACGGGACCACGCCCGCCTGCCTTCATCGATCATGTTTTTGTATTGTTTGTTGTTGTAATGTTTTTACCCGCCCCGGACTGGACATCTGTGAAAAAGAGCTATATGGCTTATCAGATTCCTCCACGATAAATATTCTGATTCTGATCTCCCCAGTGCTGATGTTGATACACCGTACAATCTAATACTGTTCTCCACACATGTACAGTCACTCGCTAGCACGCACTCACGCATACACACGCACGCACACACGCACGCAGATACACAAGCACAAACACACGCACGCACGTGCACTCACACGTACACAGGCACGCATGTACACACGCACATACACACACACACGCACGTGCACATGCACACACACACACGCACACACACGTACACAAGCACACACACACACACCGCACCATTTGCACGGCGCTGATGAACTGCTTCTGCTCCACGTAGATGTGCGCCAGGTTGAGCCACACATCGCACACGTCCGCCGTGGCCTCGCGCACCTGGGCAAACACGTCCCGGGCCTCGCGGATGCAGCCCTTGTGGGCCAGCACGGCGCCTGCGACATGCGCACGCACACGCGAGCGATGGCCGCGTCACACCTCCCGTCACTGGCACGTCTTAGCGGGGCCGGCACGGGGCCCTCACCGTACGGGTGGGTTTCCTCACTGGCTATCTTCTGCGCCGAGCCAGAACCCGAGTGGAGTTGCGTGTAGTTTTCCACTGGTTACATGCCGTGGCCAAGCCAGAACTGAACCATAATACGCTGGCCTTACAAGACATCTGAACCTGGCTCGGTGCCAAGCAGGGGCCAGGGCTAAAGGCATGTTCATTGCGCGTGACGTCAGTCGGCGCACCGCACAACCGAGCCGCGCCGGGGCTACGCCAAGCCAGCCCCGCGTGCCTTTAGGAGGCCCTTGCCACGCTGTTTTACTTCCGCAGAAGTCGAGCCGCGCCACTGACATGCAATCGCATGCAGCGAACGAGTCCAGATGCGTGCGAATGACGCGGCGACGCCCGAGTCCTCGCCGAAGCCACGCGCAACGAATGCGTCACTTTCCCCACCCCCCTGGCCTGGCTTAGCCCCAAGCCAGATTGAGACGTCTTCTTGCGAGGCCAGCGTAGCGAGCGGTTTGGTTCGGGGGGGGAATAGCTTGGAAAATAGCCCAATGGACAACCACCCCGTAGTGTGACGAGGGTGGTTCGGCTCGGATACGTTAATTAAGCTAAACTAGATTTATTTGACAAGGTAAGGCCCACTGAGCAATATATAGCTCTTTTTCAGAAACGACCTGGCAACAAATGATAGCTCAACGAAGTGGCTTATAATCACGTGGAAATTTTTAACAGCCAAATACAGGTAGTCATCTACTTACGATGGAGATGCGTTACGACGACCCCATCGTAAGTCGAAAATATCGTAAGTCGAAGATGGCCTAGTCTACCCAGGAGTCTTAAAGAATGGTGATAATTTAGCAAAATAGAGCAATTTACAGTAACATACTGTATAAACTATATATTGTATGTATTTATCAATTACAATACTGTATTGCACAGTAAAATGTAAAGTAAAAAAACAAGGTAAATTCTTAGCCTACCTATATGAACTGCAATTTAATAGAAAGTTTTTTTCAGGAAACAATCCTATCTGCTATAAAAAAAACTTTTAACGTGAATTGAATGTATCGTACCTCATACGCTGCTGCGTTTGCCTGCCACGCGAAATGTACAATATTTAACAATTTTTTCGTATCGCCATCGTAAGATCGAAATATCGTAAGTCGGACCATCGTAACTCGGGAACTATCTGTACTCTAATTGCATGTTGATTCTAAATGTGGGGTGAAAAAAGCGGAGGACCCGAACAAAAATCCACGCGAGCACAGTGAGAGAGGGACACTGCAAACTCCAAATATACAGGAGTCAGGGTCGGGATCGAATCCACGACCTCCTGGATACTAGGCGAGGTATTTAACATCACAACACCGTGACACCCTAATCAGGGCCACGTCAGATCAGGGATAGAGCCCCGCTGAGGTCCCGGCTTCGGATCTGGATATCGGCCCCCCACGATTAAACCATAGTCTCACCGATTCCATTAGCCTGCGTACAGGTTTTTGGGGTCGTTCCTCAGAACCTGTTTGTAGATGGCCAAAGCACGATCCTGATGACGTTTTTCCTGGAAAAACAACAACAGCCAAATATTCGCACAGACTTGTTACTTAATTTTACTCTCCATTTAACTAGCACATTAAAACGTACACCACAAGCATAAACCGAGTTAAACGTACACACTACGCACAGGTTCAAAGACAAAAGTCAAAAGAGCGAGTGTGCGATCGTGCTCGTACATCGAGTCGGCCTTAGATTTAGACGGACATCCCACTCTCCTATGGCCATGAACCAAAAAGAACCACAACGTGTTCACGAGGCGTCAACGTCACTCCATCTCTCTCTCTCTCTCTCGCCTTCTCCTTGTCCCGTGTGGGCTGGTGCAGCGTCTGCAGCCACACGTTGCCCAACGCCAGCATCGAGTAGGCGTCGTTCTGCGTCGCCGGCTGCTTCAGGATTCGCTCGAAACTTTTTCTGCCCCGGCTGCCACTCCTGCTTGGCGAGGTGAAGGTTCCCGATGAGGGACCAGGCGTCTGGGTGGTCCTGCATGGAAAATAACCGCACGCAAACAGGCGTGCTCGATCACCATCACCATGCCGTGCATGCGTGGCATGCGTAGCAGGCGTGTGCAATGCTCTCAGCCTTGTCTAGACCACTAACCAAACAGATTAACAACGATTTAAAGCTTTCGTGACTGCAGGGATTGATCTTCTTGGTTCTTTCGGTAAAGTCACGTAGAAGGGAAATAATAAATAATAAAATAAAACATAATAAAATAAGTTTATTATGTTTAATTTTTATTATTTTTCGGTAAAGTCACGTAGAAGGGAAATAATAAAATTATAAAAATAAAACATAATAAAATAATAAAGTCACGTAGAAGGGAAATAATAAAATTATAAAAATAAAACATAATAAAACAATTTTATTAGGTCAGATTTTTATTATTTTATTATTTCCCTTCTACGTGACTTTACCGAAAGAACCAAGAAGAGGAGATTAACAACGTTCAATGGGTGTGTGCTGCTCATAAACATCCAATATGCCTGACTGCCTGGATCTTGTCCTGACTATGGCTGATGCTGTTTCAATTGAAACATCATGTATATAATTGCCAAATCTATCTGTGAGAACTATTCTTCAATTCACCAGTGAGTGAGCTGAAACAATGATAACTGGCGTCGTTAAATGGGGCAATTTAATTACTTTGGCTGTGTCGGGTGGAGGAGGGTTCTTTAGGCCATTAAGTGGCCTAACCCAGAAACCAATTAATGGAACCTGGAAGAAAAACATTAATAAAAAAACGTTATCGGTACTGAGGCTCCCACAAGGCCATGCGGGAGGGCGTGCAGTACAGTTTGGCACCAGCTATCATAGAGTGGCAGTCATATCACTACAGTTCTCTGCGGTGAGTAAGATGCCTTTGAAAACAAAGGCGCTACGCCTCTGTAAATAAAATGTACGCCGAAACGCCGAGATTCAGCGGTGAACGGGACCAACCCGGCAACTAGCAGTCGTCTCAGAACGCGAAAAGTCAAACCTGGAGAATACGGTGCTATCGGCCGAGAAAATGAAGAGCATCTCGCGACGGGTCACCTGGTTGATCTGCAGGGCCTCCTTAAACCAGTCGGAGGCCTCGTAGAAATTCCCCTTGTCTCTCGCCATGCAGCCGAGTCGCAGGTAGCCTGTGCGGCAAAGTCGGGGTGGATTTCCTGTTCAAATCAAATCTGTTCGTACATTTGGCCATCGCCCTATTTGTTATTGCGCAAGGCTGTCACGAAGGCGCTGCATTTCGCGGTTAGGATTTAACGAGCATTGAGGTGGTGCTTTTCATCCGTTTACAGCGCCTAGGCCAGTGGTGGAACGAGCACATTGTTACAGCGGACGCGAGTTTTATGAACCCTGGAGGGATGATGGTCCGAGTCAATTTCTCAAACATACAAACGCAGAGAACAACTCAATGGATGGACAGACCGACGGACGGGCAGAGAAACGGCTGGACGGACGGACGCACGGAGGGGCGGGGGGGGAGACTCACAGTCGACGTAGTTGGGATGCTCGCGGAGAATGTTCTTGTAGTGCTGTTCTGCGCCGTGGTAGTTGCACGTGGACTCGTGCAGGCGCGCCAGGTTGTACGTGCTCGTCACCGAAATGGCGTTGTAGTAGTGCTCGTCATGCTGGGCCTCGGCCTTCGCCCTGTCCAGCGACGCCGCGTAGTACTTCTGCTCGCGCACGCACGCGAGCACCCGCAACACGTTTCAGCGTGTGTTCATACACGAGGATACGTGGACACAGGCACACGCACGTGTAGCCACACACACGCCGTGTGCACACAGAAGGGTATGCGCAAGGGCAGAAGTGTACGCGCACACACACACGGCACAAGTGTGTACACCTACAGGCGTGCACACAGAGACGGCCAAGCAGTTTAACCCATAATATTAGTCCTATACAGACAACGATGACGATAACATTGGCAACGATAACGACAATCATAATAAGGAAGATAACAATGACGATATTAATGATGATTACAACGACAATCATGATGACAATGATGACGATTTGACGGCGTCGATGACGACGATAACGGCGACAGTGTCAATGAACAAACGGTGGCAGTAATGATCGCAACAATGACGACGATGGCAACAATGACGATGACCGCGCCATCACTGCAATGAAGGTGACGACGATGACTCTGGCGGCACCTTAGCCTCCCCCAGGTTGCCCAGGCGGAAGTGCAGCGCGGCGACGTTGTTGAGGATCTCGGGGGGAACGTCGGCCTGCACCTTCTCCTGCAGGATGCGTGTTGCCGTGCCGTAAGCCGACAGCGCGCCCTGGGGGTAGAGACGCACGTGGCCGTCACAAAGTCGAACCCCACGTGTAGCCTCTCGACAGACTATTGGCGCAAGCGCTGTTGGCGAGTTGCACCTATTAAGGGCAGCACGGCGCGCGAGGGAGGTGGGGTGCGACAGCACCGTGGGCCATCACACGCACGCACGTACGCATGCATGTATGTTAACTTATTTTGCATCATACGTAGCTAACCGTGCTGTATTTGGCTAGTGTTAATACCGATAGCTAAAAATGCTCATAATGAATAACATAACCAATTTTTGTGTACATGCTTCTGCAGCCTTGATTGTAATTCATAGGCCAACTATAAAACGCCTGTCGCTGCTGCTGACCCCAATATTTACAGAAACTTATCGATCTTTGTACACCAACGAGGGCCCTGAAATCTTCGAATCGTCTTAACCTGAGTACTCGGGAGGTCAAGGCTCACTTCCTAGGATCATCGGGCTTTTGCTTATATGTAGATCCCAAGCTTTGGAACGCTTTGCCTTTGCTAACAAGACAATCAAAATCGTTATACTGGTAGGAACCTCCTGGTTATACCAGCCCACAGGGGATTATTGTGTCCGTCCGTCCGTAGTGCATCCAAAAATGGGAGGGGTGGGGCTGGGTGGAGAGGGGAGGGTGGGGAGGAGCTGGGTGGGGAGGGAGGGGCTGGGTGGAGAGGGGAGGGTGGGGAAGGGGCTGGGTGGGGAGGGTGGGGCTGGGCGGGGAGGGTGGGGCTGGGTGGGGGGTGGGAGGGGTGGGGCTAGGGTGGGGAGGGGAGAGGCTGGTCACCCCGTGGTGCCCTTATAAAACTCAACGTTTAACCTACTCACGCCGGCTTGTGCCCGCCCTCACAGTCGGCCATATTTGCGGAATACACCACGCCGTCGTTGACCCTGGCCATTGACCGAGCAACCCAACGTTCCTACCAGCTCCCTCCGCAGGAATGTGTTTTAAGTCTGTCTTGAAATCTCACCTCTGTTAACTGAACATTTGCTCCTAATTCTGGTCGTTTATCCTGGTTCTATCCATGTATTGCTTTCCATACAGGGGGCAGATTGGGATCTACAGATGAAATGCACCTTACAAATGTAAATTATGATTAATATGAGACTGACGAACAACCTGTATGTCGGATTGCTCAAGGATCTGAGCCAATTCAATCCAGGCTTCCACATCGTCGGGGTACTGCTCCGTGACCTTCTTGAGGTGACCCTATGAACCGCACACAACACGTAAAACAAAGACAACGATGATGCCATCTTAGAGACCTTGTGGGCAAGTGTTGTTAGGGAGCGCCTATTCATTCGAGCCAGGAGGGAGGATAAGTCGATAGAGTCAATTGACTCGAACTTTTAATCGATGCCTCGGATCCATTAAAAAATGACAGCCGCCCAGATACCCAGCCTCGCAAAGGCGGGAAACCCACTACGAGGCAAGCCTGGCGCGGACTGATAAGACCAATGATGTCACCAAGCCTCGCCCATCAACTCCAGTCCAGCGGCACACACAATTACTAATCCATTCACAGCCCAGCTCTGAAAAAAATACATTGAACGCTGCCCCTGACACACACACACGAGGCCTCGTACCGAATGGTGAATTTTAGTCTGGACAGTCCGGAACGCTGTTCTGAGATTTATTTTGCCATGGAATTTCAATCTCCCCTGTCTTTGTGTCTGCATTATACTATTTCTGTCATCTTGGGATCATAGGAATATATTTGAAAAAGGTTCAAGTGATTTCCTGCTCAAACGAACATCTCCAGTTTACAGCCCTGAGCCACATTCCTATGGCAGGGGCGAGTTCAACCATAGGACAATCACTGTTGACTTCTCCACAAAGTATTATTCATTTTATCGACCCCAAAGAGATGTTGGGCTAAGTTAATCCACCAAAAAGGATTAGAACTCGCAACCTTCCGATTCCGAGCCACTCGCTGAACCGCTGAGCCACCTGACACCGAATCGAGAGGAATGTAGCGGTCGTGCCCGTATGTGCCGATAATCCCTACTCCAAACCGCAGCTCTTCAGGGATTCCGTAACCGTGTGAGAAAATTGAGCAACAATGCTCGGTTACCTTGGCAGTCTCTCTCTTCTCCTGGTCGTTGCTGGTGGCGTAGAGCGAGCCCAGGATCTTCATGGTCTCGTAGTTGTTGGGGTAGGCCTTGAGCACCTTCTCGAAGCAGCCGGCCGCGTTATCCCGGTCGCCGCGGTAGATGTACATCTGGCCCAGGCCAAAGTAGGGCAGCAGGAAGTTGGGCGAGGCGAACTGCGTCGCCTGGTAGTAGTACTGGAAGGCCTGGTCGTAGTCCCCCTGGGACGGAGAGTTTGGCACGGGCGAGAGTAGACGTCGACTCAATCGAACGACCGGGAGGTCGTCGCGAGGAAGAAAGGTAACAATTCACAACCACAACGACCCAATGATTTGATGGGTGAGGATTTTAGCGAGCGATTTGGTCAGCTCCATGACCCAACATCGAGGAAGGTTGACGATTGTCGTGGTCAGCGATATCTACTCAAAACGATCGGAAGAACACCAAGGAAGCAGTTTAACGATTTACCATTACCCCTGTAACATCCACCCAGCGATTTGATTAATTGTCAGCATATGGGCGAGGGATTTAATCATCAATACTCTGGCCCAATGACGAGAAAAACGTGTTACGCATTTATATCAGCCCCAGAGGGATGATCGGTTAAGTCAACCCCCAACCAGGATTTGACCTCGCCAATTTCCCAATGTGAGCTGTTCGCTCTACTTCGGAGCTACCTGCCCAGTGAGAAGATACTTGCTTATAATCGTAAACACGTCTACTCGTGTTAAGAGTCTTGCGGAGACTCGCGTTGCGGATCCAACAGGAAGTCTGCAGCCGGGCAGCTCGCTCGCCTGCCCACTCGCCTGCCCACTCGCCCACCAATTCGCCCACTTGCACGCCCACCCGCCTGTACGCCCGCCCACCCAATCCCCCACCCGCTAGCGCTGTACCGAGGCGGCGACAGTGGTACCTGCACGTGGAACGAGCGCGCCAGTTGGTAGCAGCTTTCGGCCTGCATCGCCTCCACGTCCGTGTTGTGGAAGGCGTGCAGTGCCAGGTGCTGCACTTTGCTGTAATCCTGCACATGCACACACCGGACACAAACATTTACCCCTATAGCGTTAGCGGACAAAATACTGTTAACGAGCACCTATGGAGGAAAAACGAGTGACGCTTGCACCACGACCATTGTCGGCCCGTTGGTCATGTTTACACATCGCACCGGATATTTATTTAAGATTGAGTGAAGGTGTGGGACGAGTTCATTATCATTTATGCTTGATTGTTGTTATTATGCTCGTTTATTTCAGAAAGCCTTACCATGTCTTAAGATCTTTTTCAGGAGGGTCCTGGCAAGTTGTCGCAATAAGGGGGGGGGTGTTGCTGTCTGCAATCCCAACTGAGTACTTTGCACGTCATTTTTCAGCATGGGGATGCTTGGCCAATACCGGGTAAATTTTTTTTAGCTTCGGGAGGCAACTGGAGAATCCGAAATAAACCCACGCAGAACAGGGAGGGAACATACAAACTCAACACAGAAAGGCGGCCTAGTCAGTAATCGAACCCAGGCTCTTTTTGCCGTGAGGCACGAGTGCTACCACTGTATCACACTGGCTCCCCCACCCCCCCTCCCGTGCCACCGACGAAGGACACCCTCTCTCATTCAGACCGTCTCGGTGACGGACCTTCTTGAAGAAGAAGTGATTGGCCAGGTGGTTGAGGACCATGGGGTTGCTGCTGTCGATGGTGTAGGCCTTGGACAGCAGCTGCACGCCGTTCTTGATCGAGTCGGCCTGCGGCGACACGAGTAACGTGCGGACAGCCACTTGCTTAACATGCAGTCAGCGACACAAGCAATGCGTGATCAACGACTCCAGGATCTCTCACGTGAGGGACGTGATGCCACCAAGCCGGCAACGCTTCAACAAGGTGCCCCAACCCCACATGAGAACTAGACAAGGTCCTCTTTTACTCAACATTGCTCAAGACATTTCCACGTTTACCTCTTTTTTCAAGTCCGTTACCGATAATGGAGGGAAAAAAAACCGATTTTAACAACCCTACTTCTTAAGCCTGGCGCATGGCAGAGGTCGCAATCGGGTACCCGATACCCGTACCCTACCCGATACCTGGCTACCCGTACCTAGCCGGGTACGGGTACCCGTTTGCGACCCTGGTGTGGCCGGGTACGGGTACGGGTAGACCGTGAGTCACTGGTGAGTAACCGTTTGTCACTCATTTCCCAACGTCTTGTCTCTTCTCACAATTCAAGTTCCTAGAATCAACCCACCCGCGCCTGCAACATGGCTTCATCCCAGAGGTCGCAATCCCCGATACCCGGCTACCCGTACCCGGCCGGGTATCGGGTACGGGTACCCGTACCCTACCCGGCCGATACGGGTACCCGTTTGCGACCCTGGTGCGGCCGGGTACGGGTAAGGAATCAAAACCCGTTTGCGACCTCTGGCGCATGGGCCCCTCCGGATTGTGGGCCCCGATTGGACACCCGGCACACGTCGTCGCCTCTCTCTCTCTCTACCTCCTTCTTGTTGAGCTCGAGGATGGCGAGGCCGACGAGGGCGCCCACGCACTTGGGGTTGAGCTCCAGCGCGCGCATGAACGCGAGCTGCGCCTTCTCCGGCTTGCTCAGCTTCACGAAGCAGTGGCCCATGCCCAGACGAACCTCCGCTGTCGGTTCACACACGGAGCGCTAACGTTAGCGAGCGAGCGATCGATGTCACTGTCGCATTTATCTATCGAGCGTTTATCTTACCAAATCACCTTGCATGCGGGTTCCCTTCCTCAGTTCTCCATACAGCTTGTGTGCTAGCAACCTCATTTAATCTGTACCTATCACGTGACCGACCCAAGTGATTGTGCCCACACAGCAATCACTTGAAGAGAGCGACCTACCTGGGCAGTTGGGGTTAGTGCGTAACGCCTTCTTGTAGTAGGCGAGCGCCCCGCGGAAATCCTTCTTGTTGAACGCGATGCACGCCTTGCCTGCGCGTGGGGACACCAACAATCTCAGCAGGCATTTAACACTCTCGCAGTCGTTCCTACCCGCAGTCGTTCCTACCCTCCAATTAGCTCGTGCAAAATAAGTTCCACATACATACACTCGCTCACAGCTGAGAGTCCTCACCGAGCAGCGCGGGGATGTTGCTGGGCGACTGGTTGAGCACAAAGTGGAACTGTGCATCCGCCTGCTCCATCTTCTCTCCCTCGAGGAGGCAGTAGCAGGCTCGGCCGAGCAGATGGTTCTATCGCGCGGAGAATGCGAGAAGGAGAGGCGACCGTGGCGTCGCGACGTTAGCGCGGAGGACTCGCCGCGACGGGTTAGCGAGGGGCGAAGAGCGTCCACGATGGTGGACGAAACACAACCATGTGAACAAGCGACATGAAGAGAAAGACAGGCTGTGTGGAGTGGATTTGAAAAAATAAGTGAAGTTGCTTTGGTTAACAAGGTGACAACTCAAGAGACCAGGATAATTCGCATTTGCAAGAGTGATCTGGGAGACCAATATGACAAAAGAATAACAAATAAAGGAGAGCAATGAAGCGGCAAAAATAACTGCCACATGAGAAGGTGAAACCACTGCAGGAACATTAAACATTGTCCAATAATAAATTACGTGGAGAGTACAATAAAAATTCTGCTACAGCAGCGTTGAACAAAAACTGGGTGACTATTACACTAATATGTAAAGAGACAAGGAAGTCGTGGACCACTTGAGATGAGGTCGCGGGCTTCATCTGGCCCATGAACAACGGGTTCCTCACCCCTGATCTACAGCGGGTGCCCAGCGTCCGTACGGAGCATGGCAGGGGAGGAAGAACGACTCACCTGGTCGTACATGATGATCTTATCGGCCATGGTGTAGAGGAGCGTGGCCTGGGTGAGCAGCTCCTTCTTGACATCCTTGTTTTTCTCGCGCCGCGCCTGCTGCACGTAGTAGGCGGCCAGCGTGTCGAGGCACGTCATCTGGTCCTTCTCGTGGTCGCGGTAGTCCAGCGTACCGTCCACGCGCGCCGCCTCCAGCAGCTTCACAAAGTCCTCCGGCTTGCCCTGCCGGTAGTACTCCAACTGCACAAAGGCAAAGATTCCCCGTATAGCCTTAATGGACTGTTGGCGCAAGTGCGGTTACACTGCACCTATGAAGGCTGGCACGGCACACGAGGGGGTGGGTGGACAACACCATGCCCGGCCGCCTTTGTCTCCCCAGTGGCGATGTTCACACATCACACCAGGTACTCATTTGAGGCCGAGTCGACCTAGAGAAGTCCAAGACCAGTTCAGACAATCGTCATTGGTCGTGGCCGTGAATGGGAATGGAACTCGGGTCGCCGGGTTCGTGGCACAATGCGCTAACCACTACACTCCCCAATACCCGCCATTTGCCACCAAGGCGCCTGTGCCAGGCCAGATGCACTTTGAGACCACGTGAAGTGTTGAAGGCTCGCTGACAGGAGGTCACAGGACAGACCCAGCAGGTGCCATGGGTTGGCTGACTGAGACAACTGTTAGATGTACCAGCTGTACCCCCTACTGTGCCAAGATGTACAATTCCCCACCCCACTAGTCACATACAATCACATACCTTCACGTAAACGCACACACGTATACAAAAACAAAGTCGTCCTGTGTGCCCGGCAGGTTAGTTCTCCAGCTTCTCATACAAATGGACAGCTACCTGTATATGCTTTAACACAAATCACACACACACATTTACACAGACAAGTCACGGGCACTGTCGTGCGGGGTGGGAGAAGACAACGCAGGTGGCTCATGGCGAAGCCCCGGGTCTAACGCCCATCTCACCGCGAGCGCGATCCATATGTGCAGCTGCGTGTGCTCCTGCTTGAGAATGCTGATGACTTCGTCACCCTCCGGCAGCTGATCAAAGTCGAGCTCTATCACCTGCAGCACACACACACACACGAGAACATAAGAAGGGTTACAAATTATACGGGGGTCATTCAGTCCATCTAAGTATGCTGAACCTCTTTCGCACCGTACGTAGCCAACCGCGCTAATCGGAGGTGCGGGGGAAAGACAACAAACTAAACACAAAAAGCAGTTCTCTGTTGTTTGTAGCAGATGTATTGTCTCGTCTCATTAAGGCTTTTCATGAAGTCCCAGTGAACCAATGTTCACAAGACGTATGGGCAGCCTCTTCCAGAACCCCAATCTGTATAAAACAATTCGCTCCTGAACTTTTCCACACGCAGCATTCACCTGCGGCGTCCGATTCTATTCTTCGACCGAGACGTTAAGGATTCCAGACTGCGGAGGTAATGCTGAGAGCGAAACGACTATTAGGGCCAGCACTCGAGACGACAGTGTGACTAGCACCCACGCACGCCGGATCATGTCTGTGCCGCTGTTTACACGATCCAGGGCAAGTTCGTGACAAGGACGTGCCACTGATGTTGACCGTGGGCAGGAATTAGCCTCAGCCATTGGCCATAATCCCTTCTCGTGCTGTGTCCCGTCCAACCATCCTCCTGTAGAGTTGCGGTATCCAATGCCCACAATCTCAAGTCCATGAGTTTTCCTATTTCTCTGTCTCTCAATGCAATTCCAAACATTCAATGTCCATTCTAGATTAGAAGTTTTCGTGACTGCAAGGATCCATACTCTTTGGTTCTTTCGGTAAAGTCACGTAGGTGAAAAAATTAAAATTATATATTAAATCACGACGTTTCGGGCGCAACACAAGCGTCCATCATCAGGTGGGGACAACCACAGCAAGCAACCTAAGAGTATGAATCGTTGCAGTCACGAAAGCTTCAAATCTAGAAGACACAACTGCTTGCTGTTTCTTGCTGTGGTTGTCCGCACCTGATGTGTTGCGCCTGAAACGTCGTGATTTAATTTACTTTTATTTATTTTTTCACCTACGTGACTTTACCGAAAGAACCAAAAAGTATTCAATGTCCATGTTTTTTAATCCGATGTCATCACCCTGGTTTGGGGGCGAGTCTTACTTGCCGGAGCGTCTTATAATCCAGGACAAGACACGCGGCAATAATAAACCATTATCATTTGCGGCCAGGTCGCTTCTGAAAAATAAGTTAATAGCTCAGTGGGCTTTACCTGGCAAGATAAACAAAACATTGTTTTGTTGGATTTGTAAATATTTTTTGCAAGCGATTTGTTTGTAAATGTTGTGAATTTGCTCTCCAACACACCGGTGTGCTGTACTAGCAACGAATAAGCACGTTTTGTTTACCAATTGGCTGCGTCGGGTGGTGGCGGGTTTAACGACACACCATTTATATTACAGCTATCTAACCCACAAACACTTGTACTGTATTGTGAGCGATTTGTTTACCTTCCCTATACTTTGCACTCCTATCGTCTATGTTGTATTACTTGTAGTTGTTGCTGTAACGTTTTGCCCCCCCCCCCCCCGTGGCCCCCATTAGTTGACCTCTGCGTGAATCAAAACCCCAACACAAAGAGCTTAAATTTCGATTTAAAGCTTTCGTGACTGCAGGGATTCATTCTGGCGAATTGCCCGATGATGCTGGATGCAATTACCAGCGAAACGTCGTACTCAAATTGTAAATGTTGTGGTTTCATGCTTCAACACACCGGTGGGCTAAAGCAGTGAACTATTTGTCTTTTGTCAACGTGACACTTTTTTACTGATTGGCCGTGTCGGGTGGTGGAGGGTTACGACACATTTATAAATAACGCGATCTAAACCCAAAAACGTTGATTATGAGGGATTCATCTTCTTGGTTCTTTCTGTAAAGTCACGTAGAATGGAAATAATAAAATAATAAAAATAAAACATAATAAAATACAATTCTCACGACGTTTCGGCCACAACGCAAGCAGCCGTCCTCAGGTGAAGAAACAGGGCTGTCAAATAATAAAAATAAAACAATAATTCTCACGACGTTTCGGCCACAACGCAAGCAGCCGTCCTCAGCTGAAGAAACAGGGCTGTCAAATAATAAAAATAAAACAATAATTCTCACGACGTTTCGGCCACAACGCAAGCAGCCGTCCTCAGATGAAGAAACAGGGCTGTCAAATAATAAAAATAAAACAATAATTCTCACGACGTTTCGGCCACAACGCAAGCAGCCGTCCTCAGCTGAAGAAACAGGGCTGTCAAATAATAAAAATAAAACAATAATTCTCACGACGTTTCGGCCACAACGCAAGCAGCCGTCCTCAGATGAAGAAACAGCTCTGAGCTTTTCAGCTCATCAGATTCCCATGTCAAGCCCCGCCCCCCTCCCCCCCTCAGTAGCAACTCGATTACCTAGTCCGCATAAGCGAGCGCGTGCCCAATCGCCAGCCTCCCATTGGTCCACAGGGCGACCACGTGCGCGCGGCTTCAGCCAATCGCGGCGGGAGGCCAAAGACCCGAGCGCCGTCCCCCCCTCTTATCGTAGCTACGAAATTAAAACCGGGCGTAAAAAAGCTCCCTCCACTCCGCCAGCCGCCAAAACGTGAAGACAACGGCGGACGAAGCGCGTCCACTTTTAAAGTCGCCACCCGCCGAGCCCTCTCCCGAATGTATCCAGCGCGATGAGGGGGTGATGGTGGCGGTGAGGGGTGAGGGGGGGGGGGTAACACACGCGCATTGACATAAACAAAAACCCCCTCTTCGATAGATTAATTTCCTCACCACGTAACCACCTCACCACGTAACCTCCTCACCACGCAATCGCCTCACCGCACCGCACCGCTCACCTCGTCCGTGTCCCTGAGCGGGATCTCGATGGAGCCGCGCGACATCTCGAGATGAACAAGTGTGGACCCGAGGCTGGCGCGGTGCCGTGTGGGTAGGACGAGGTTGGTGGGGGTGGGGTGAGGGGGGGGGGCAACGTGCGGTCACGTGGGCCGGATGTGACGTCAGCGGCTGTCCCAACACCGCCCGCCATCTTACGTAGGGGTAGCGGGGAGGCTTTCGTGAGGGGGGGGGGCAACGCGCGGTCACGTGGGCCGGATGTGACGTCAGCGGCTGTCCCAACACCGCCCGCCATCTTACGTAGGGGTAGCGGGGAGGCTTTCGTGGTGGGGTAAGGGGGGGGCAACGTGCGGTCACGTGGGCAGGATGTGACGTCAGCGGCTGTCCCAACACCGCCCGCCATCTTACGTAGGGGTAGCGGGGAGGCTTTCGTGGCTAATACAGACACAGAGAGGGTGGTTCAGAAATTGTTTTTAACACTTCTATGGGACTATCGTTTTTAATTGATGAAAATAACGGATAAGATACGCTGTAACGTGATAACAATTGTGTGTTGATAGCTTCAAAGAGTCTCCACTTCGCCATAATTGTCAACGCGTGCCTGGAATCTTCTCCAGGTGGTCTCCTGAGCTCGGAGGCGGCACATTTCTTGTGGCAAGGCCGTATACAATATTTTTTACTGGAAGGAACGAAGTGAACCAGCCTACAATAGATTATATCGTCCGTCCTCCGATGTCCGATTAGGTGTAGCAACATCGCCCCCTACTGCAAACACTTGGCAGGACCCTACAAAAACCTTTAGACTCAGTGACGCTTTCCTGGCTAAACAAGTGTAACATTCCCTTATGATTCCCTGAGATAGCTTTTAATTAAAACGTTTTTCCTGGCTAAACAAGTGTAACATTCCCTGATAATTCCCTGAGATAGCTTTTAATTAAAACATTTAAATTAAAAATTAACTCACAGCGGCCTAAAGCCTACAGCTAGGCCTAAAGCCTAGAACTAGGCCTCAAACTCTCCCTTCGTATCGTCCGATTTGGTGTAGCAACATCGCCCCCTACTGCAAACACTTGGCAGGACCCTAGAAACACCTTTACACTCAGTGGGGCTTTCCTGGCTAAACAAGTGTAATAATACATTATGTTTATATTCTTTGGTTATTCGTTCCTACCAGCCCACCCCGCAGGGACCTGTTATTGCTATGCTACAGTGAGGGAAACAAGTATTTGATCCCCTGCTGATTTTGTACGTTTGCACACTGACAAAGAAATAATCAGCCTATAATTTAATGGTAGGTTTATTTGAACAGTGAGAGACAGAATAACAACAACAAAATCCAGAAAAACGCATGTCAAAAATGTTATGAATTGATTTGCATTTTAATTAGGGAAATAAGTATACTTTTTTCCCTCACTGTATGGAGTGCCTGGGCAAGTATTGCTGCCACCTGCTGGTCTCTCACCTCAATCGACTCCCCTCAATGCATTATCCTGCCTCTTGTCTCTATTCCACTCCGCACGCTCACCTACCTCTCCCCTGTCATCTCACTCTACTTCCCACCATATACTCTCCTACCTCTCCCCTCTCATCTCACTCTACTCCCCTCCACGCACTTTCCTACCTCTCCACTCTCATCTCACTCTACTCCCCTCCACGCACTCTCCTACCTCTCTCCTCATCTCACTCTACTCCCCTCCACGCACTCTCCTACCTCTCTCCTCATCTCACTCTACTCCCCTCCACGCACTCTCCTACCTCTCTCCTGTAATCTCACTCTACTCCCCTCCACGCACTCTCCTACCTCTCCCCTCTCGTCTCAATCTACACCCCTCCACACACTCTCCTACCTCTCTCCTGTAATCTCACTCTACTCCCCTCCACGCACTCTCCTACCTCTCCCCTCTCATCTCAATCTACACCCCTCCACACACTCTCCTACCTCTCTCCTGTAATCTCACTCTACTCCCCTCCACGCACTCACCTACCTCTCTCCTCTCATCTCACTCTACTCCCCTCTCATCTCACTCTACTCCCCTCCACGCACTGAGAAGCATGAATGATGTTCTATCGGTAGACAGACACGTACAAAGAAACCCAGACAACCATCGCTCAGTGGGAGATCGCCCATTCTCTTCTGCTGCCCTCCCTGTTGTAGATATAAAAAGATCCTTACCTCAAGCACGCCGTGGTGTGCTGTGGGCGCCCTGCCCCTGTTCAAATCTAGTCTCAATTATTTCCCTTTTCCCTCTGCCTATGACTCACTTGCTTCTTTCTCTCTCTGCAAAATAAATACACCCACTATTTTTTGTACAGCTTCTACTGAACGAGAGCGGTGGCATTTCGACGCTGTCTAAAGTCAACCTGTACAAGGCATTTAATCTCACAGCTCACAACGGAATTAATCCCAATGGGCTCTCACATAATTAACAAATCAATTACATTTTGGGTCAATAAGGATTTACTGACATTCAAGGCCCTTAAATCGATTAAACAAAACCAATCGTGAAAGGTAAACAGTGGGGTTACTGATTACTTGAGGCCATCAGTAATCTGCGGTGGTGGCTACACCTGGAATCCAGAACTGTGGAGGCCAGGCTTGGTGGATCACACAAATGTTCATCTTCTTAGTTCTTTCGGTAAAGTCACGTAGAATGGAAATAATAGAATAATAAAAATAAAACATGATAAAATAATTCTCACAACGTTTCGGCCACAACGCAAGCAGCCGTCCTCATTCTACGTGACTTTACCGAAAGAACCAAGAAGATGAATCCCTGCAGTTACTAAAGCTTTAAAACCACACAAATGTTGTGAAACTTTTTTCCCGTGGGGGTCTAAGAGGAAGGAATCTTTTACCCTGGCTCGCCAGAAGGCAGTACAGCAAATATGTGGACTCCACCTGTTCCATCTGTACGTGATAGAGTGTGAGAGGGGTCTCACACGTGGGGTTTCTGCGGTACCCCGGTTACCTCCAATATGCAAACACTAATGAATTGACCGATAACACCTTCATACATAAAGGACCGCAGAGCTTGTAGGGAAGGGGGATTTGACGCAGACTCGTCGCCTGGATGCTGAGTTTCCTGCTCGTCTGTGTTGTTGTTCTATCGTTCTGACATGCTCTTACTGGACATCTGTGGAAAATAGTTTTATCGCTCATCGGATTCCTCCAATAAAAATAAATATTCTGATTCCTCATCACACCTCTGAGTCATCCTCTCTCTCTACGGGAGTGAGTGAATACTGTGGTGCGGCTTCGCGTTACAAGTTGACATTATTATTATTGAAGTAACACAACAATCTCGTAGTGCAGCTTATGTGCAGGAGACCATGAGAGACGGCCACGGATTTGGGGAGGCCTTCATCCAGCAGTGGATCATGACAGTATTTTCAAAGTCCTTGCGTGCCTCAATGAGAAATTTGAGTTTTGCTTCTCTGCGTTGGTCAGCCATGATTCGACAATCCTTTGACAGAGGGGAGCAGACCGTGGATAATTGAAGAATAACGCGATGAAAAAAGCTAGTTTAATCTCGAAACAACAACAATACATTTTTATTTAAAGCTTTCGTGACTGCAGTGATTCATATTCTGGTTCTTTCGGTAAAGTCACGTAGAAGGGAAATAATAAAATAATACAAATATAAAACAATAAAAATCCTCACGACGTTTCGACTGCAACACAAGCAATCATCATCAGGTGTGAAATCCACAGCAAGAAATTTTAAAATAATTAAGAATATTTTTTTTTATTGCTGTGGATTTCACACCTGATGATGATTGCTTGTGTTGCAGTCGAAACGTCGTTAGAATTTTTATTGTTTTATATTTGTATTATTTTCTTATTTCCCTTCTACGTGACTTTACCGAAAGAACCAGAATATGAACAACAACAATGTTCATAATCAACGTTTTTGTTATAAAAGTGCGTTATGGTGTGGTGTGCACGGACAACACGATGGTTTGTTCCACGTATCCAATTGCACGACGTTGCTGGTAGCGATAACGGCCTTCCTGCACATGTTTTGTTTTCCTTATTTTTAAATGCCCGTTGCCGTGGCAACGCGAATGCGTTTCCGTGGTAACATAATTAAATTATTTTTTTAATACGGATATTTTTTTTGTTCACTCATATCCATGCGACGCGTCTTAGTTTACTACTCGAGCGGGTTTCATCCGGGCGAATAAATAAAAAAGTATTGATTTATGTTTAATTAAAAAAATATGTACTTGTTAAGCCGATGGTCTCAACGACTGTGTTTTTTTTAATCTAGCCAATCAGCGAGCGAGAAATGGCACGCACGTGACGTGACCACAAGCCACGCCTCACGTGTGGGGGCGTGGCTTATGCTAATGAGGCAGCACCAAAACATCGGCCACCCCACCCGCGGGCCATCGCAAGCCTCTTGAAGGGGGGAGAAATCGCTCGCCCAAACTTAACCGATTCAATCAGGGACAAAGAAAAACGCATTTGCGAACGATAACAATGCATTGTACTCGAATAAATATAATCGTTGAAGTCGTTAAACTTGTGAGTTACGGCGGAACTACTGCCTTAAAGCTGTTTAAACGAACAACTATTTATCGGTTCACCCCCCTCACTCCATCCCACCGTCAGTTGGTTTCGTCTAATTTATGCCGTGACGTCACACTTTAAAGGGCGCATGCAATCATCAGCTGTTCCGTAGAGCCGCGTTGCTGGCAATGCGTGTGTGACTGCTTTTGTTGTTTATGTTTTTTAAAAAACACCATACAAATAATCATTGAATTTTAAACAGCCGCCACTAAAGCTTCTACGACGGTTTAAGAAGTCTCGCGCTTGAATCTCGCTGACACGAAGGTGAGAATGAACGCACGTGGCGCCGTTTGTGTTGTGTTTTACCCGTCTCGCGAGCGCTAGTGTTTACGTAACAGTGCCGCTTATAACGATGGTGGTGGTGGTGCTTGTTGTAAACAGACGAAGATGTACTCCCATTGGCAGTAAACTAACCCACCCCCACCTCCCCGTGTGTCACTGCCCCACGGCTATAAAGGTGACTTAGTGTGTCCTTCTCCGCGCTGATTTGTAACCCAATTACTCCCCTCTCAATTAACTTCTGGGGATCGTATGGGTTTAATGTAGAGTGATAACTCTGTCCGGGGTATAAGTGTATATTGTAGAGTTGTAGCCGGCTGGCTGATGTCCGTGAGGTTGGCGGATATTGGCGGATATAGACAACATAAAATATAATAACTTCTTTTGTGTCGACATTTTACAAAACAGTCATGTTTTATAGTCCATCGTTAGCCTCATTGGGTTTTCAGACCATTGTAAAGTAAGAATGAGTTTCAGCAAGCAAACTTAGGACTGCTCTCGACTTACTGAGTCTCATCAGCAGTCATTCTTGCGGGGGAGGAGGGGGGGAAGAGAACAGTTAGACATTGTGTTTGTTTCGATTTAAAGCTTTCGTGACTGCAGGGATTCATCTTCTTGGTTCTTTCCGTAAAGTCACGTAGAATGGAAATAATAAAAATAAAACATAATAAAATAATTCTCACGACGTTTCGGCCACAACGCAAGTAGCCGTCCTCAGGTGGAGAACAGCTCTGAGACTCTGTCTTCTCGACAGACCTGTTCTCCACTGAGGACGGCTGCTTGCGTTGTGGCCGAAACGTCGTGAGAATTATTTTATTGGTTTATTTGTATTATTTTATTATTTCCATTCTACGTGACTTTACCGAAAGAACCAAGAAGATTGTGTTTGTTCTTCAGCGCAGCTCCGATTAGCATGGTTGGCTACGTACGGTGCATCCAGTACATTCACAGCCTTTGTTAACAATCCACTGCGCGATTGAGACTGGTAAAGTCGTGGGTGTTGCTGCACTTAGCCTAAAGGACACCCTTAAAGCTTCTTTGAAGAGCTTTGGATTCGACCTGAAAAGCTGGGAATCCCTAGCACAGGACCGACCTGCCTGGAGAAGAAAAGTATAGGACGGTGCAGTCCTCTGTGAGAGTAGGAGACGCTCCTGTGCTATCTTGAAGAGGCAGCAGCGCAAATCTACCAAGGAAGGACGTGTGGCTGCACCTCAGAGCTCTACATCCTCCCTGACCTGTCCAGTGTGCCACAGAGAATTCCGGGCTCGGATTGGCCTCTTCAGCCATCTGCGCACTCATCAAAACCCAACAAAATGACAAACGTGCCATGGTCATCATCAACTTTGATGGACGAAGAAGAAGAAGCCTAAAGCACCTGTTACACGATTGCTATTCACCCAGCCAAGCGCTGTCCAGGCTGGACTCCTGCTTGGCTTTCGAGATGTGATGATATGGAGCGCATTGTATGTGTCCGTGGCGTCTTGTTTTTATGCAATACCCGGGACTGTACTTGGCGAATGTTCGTGTTTTGATGTCGCAACTTTAAACAGGCCGGCATGAAAAAAAGCGATCCGTAATAGATGGCATAAATAGAAATGTTGCGTCTCGATTTAAAGCTTTCGTGACTGCAATGGATTCATCTTCTTGGTTCTTTCGGTAAAGTCTCGTAGAAGGGAAGTAATAAAATAATAAAAATAAAACAATAAAATACAATTCTCACGACGTTTCGGCCACAACGCAAGCAGCCGTCCTCAGGTGAAGAAATTCACTCTTCACCTGAGGACGGCTGCTTGCGTTGTGGCCGAAACGTCGTGAGAATTATTTTATTATGTTCTATTTTTATTATTTTATTACTTCCCTTCTACGTGACTTTACCGAAAGAACCAAGAAGATAAATGTTGCGTCGTGAAACCCGCCACCACCCAACGCAGCCAATTGGTGAGCTTTGTCACGTAAACAGAACGTGCCAATCCGTTGCTAGTGTACAGCAACACCGGTGTGTCGGAGAGCAAAATCTACATTCGCGAAAGCCTACGTGTTAAACTAATTACAAGCGATGTGAAGTAGTTCCACGAGTCGCGTCGTGGTCTCGTGAAGTTCGTCGCTTTTTTTTTAAAATATAAAATCGTCTAATTCAGCCGTGCCTAATCCACTGCTGGATGAACGCGTCCTCCCCCAAGAGCCATCGCCAACAAATCGCCACCACGAACTTATTTCATCGCTCCGTCTCCTCTGCAGACGAATCTCAAGGACGCGTTCCCTTGGTGTTAGCGTCGATATATGCATGTTGAACTTCTTTCGCACCGTACGTAGCCAACCGTGCTAATCGATATAGAAGACACGTGTCTCCTGGCTTTTTTGTTGTCACGCCAATTAAAATGCACCTGCACAAATATAAGCCAGTGGCAACGTTCATTGTTATTTAACACTCGAAACTAAACCATTTTTTTTATTTGACCAGGTAATGGCCCACAGAGCTATGTAATTCTTTTATTTTTCAGAAACGACCTGGCCACAAATGCTAGCTCAACGAAAGTGGCTTATGATCACGTGGACATTTATAGCCGCCAAATAATACACCGAACGCGTGTTTCGAAATGTGGAGGGAAACACACGGAGGACCCGATAGCGAGAGACGAAAACTCCAAATACACAGCCGGCGTCAGGGTCGGGATCGAACCCACGACTTCCTCCTGTATACCCGGCGAGAGAGTTAACATCTTCTGTGTATAGTAATAGGTTTTTACCCTTTTAACTGGTACAAAATCTGACACCTTTATACAAGGCATCATGCTTGCAATAACCTCAACACAAGAAGTCAAAATGCAAACAAAAAAGAAACAACTCTGATGATGATAATGGACAGTGCATATCATGTGTTTGTTTACAAACGCGTGGCTATTTTCTTTTTCCGGACTCTGATCCACACTTTGATGGCTGTACCCTCCGTGGGGCTATTTTTGGTTGTGTGTGTGTGTGCGTATACATGTGCTTGCAGTTTTTAAAGGAAGCGATGAGCAAGTGTTTTTAGCTCACGGCTTGCAAGCTACAGAGTAATCGTCACGATCCAAGTTGAATTCCAGGCCCGAAGTGAGTTTTCTGTTCCCAATTTGTTTCTTAACCTGGTCTAGTCCTCTTTTAGGTTGGCTTAGCCCAAAATTAGTCCTTTGTATCAGCCGCACACCAGGCGGCATGGGAGACTGGTGGAACAATGAACGGGAGAACGCAAACATTGTCGCGCATAAGACTCTCTCATCGAGGATCCCACCACAAGTAAAACCACCGCCACCAAGGCATCGGGAAGCTCACTGCCCCCTCCCACAAGCAGCAGGGGGGGCTGCGTAAAGTCGAATTCGAACCAGCCACGACAGGTGCAGTCACCTGTTCCAGAAATGGAAAATAAAATAGCGGGCAAAATGAAATTGCAGAGCACTGCAACAGACTGTGGATACGCATAAATATACAGGGCCATTGGGGATGTGGGGCCCGGGGCAAATCCCACCACGTGGACCCGGCCGATGCCTTCAAACTAAACCGGAAGTATTACATCTGACACCGTGACGTCAAACGGTGGGGCCCCCCAAAGCGCAGGGCCCGGGGCGTTCGCCCCAATCCACCGCACCCCAGGGACGGCTCCGTCAATATATTAAAAAATATTTGTCTTATTTTTTTACATAGCATCATTGATATTGCATTGCATCTCAAAACCCTGCAGAATTTTAAAAGCACGCAGTCTTCGCACAGCGGCGCAGGAAACCTCAGAGGAGCGGAAAGACAGTCCTAACCGGTCCTGGCAATTGGCCATCTCATGTCCACTTGGAGCATTTCTGAAGGGCACGAGTGGCGCACACTCGCTGTCCTTTGAAGCCAGCAGCTGGATTTACAACATAGACATTCATTTATAGCTGCTGCTCAATTCAAAACCTACACGATATGGAGAAAGAGAGAGAGCAGAGTGCGTGATGTGGTGGATCTTGAACGTGAGCTCTGAGGATATGAGATGAAGACCGTTTAGATTACGTTCCGTGCCAGCCAGAATTGGAACTCGTGAACAACACAAGACCCGCCACGGTATTCGTGGATTTTCAGGTCGGACTTAGTTTTCCACCGCTTTAACAGACCAAACCCGGCATGTAGATCTCAGTTCCTCATAACTGCGGTGTATTTGTCATAAAGTACAACACAATTCCAGTACCAGATCTCGAGTCAAACCTGGATGGGTGAAAACTCGACATGAGTGTGAGGTTTTGAGATATTGGCAGAGGGTGTAATGCGTGCTGGCCACAGTACCGATTTACACTACGTGCCATGCCAGGCTTAATAAGCGCTCGCAAACAACAAGACTTGGCCGGCACGGTGTGTGCGTGTTTCTCAGGTCGGACTGTGCTGTGCCTCGGTTGGCAGCAGAGCTCTAAATCTGTATCGTAATTTTAAAAGTGGTGATAGGTCAGGGTACTGTGGCAGCTTGCTCTAGAGGCTGAAGTAAGATTTCAAAAGCGAAAATCACGTTCAGAAGTTATAGTCAATGGTGCCTCGGTGGCTCAGGGGATCAGAAGACTTTGCCAGTATTTGCTGAGATCCTGGATTCAGCTCGGGTTCTCGCCAGTGATTGGTTACATTCTGTGTACGCCTGAAATGTGCATCTGAAATCATGGAAGTGCCCCATTTGTTAACTGCATATGGACTGATAGTGGTGATGGTGGTGATAGTTGTGTTGATGATGATGATGGTGGTCATGGTGATGATGATGATGGTGGTGGTGGTGGTGATCTCAGACGGAGTTGAGCACGCTAACCACTGCGCCACCCGTCGGATTGCGACCGCCGCTGCCCACACGTCCATCCCGGCGGCTGCAGCTTGTCCCGCGCAGACGCGGCGATGCTGCGGGACGAGCCGGGAGACTCTGCCGCAGTGTCCGAGGACGGGGAGATGGAGTCCCCCAGCGGAGGATCGGCCAGCGGCAGCCCCCCAGGTGAGGGCGACGCAGCGTCCACCGTGAGCACACGCCTCGAGGCCGTGGGGTTGGCATGAGGCCGTGGGGTCAGCGTCGAGGTCGTGGGGGTCAGCGTCGAGGTCGTGAGTACGTGTCGAGGCATTTGGGCCTTCGGGCCTGTGTTCAGCAACTCTGTTGAAAAATGTTATAATAATCCCACCCCCCTGACCCCTCTAACCCCGTATCCCATCTCGCGACTGCCGGCGTGGCACAGAGAGCCCTCCCGGCCTGGTGTCCCCCGATGTGCACACGGCCACCCGGAGCCTGGAGAAGATGATCCTGGCGCACGAGATCGCGCTCGACCCCGACTTCAGCCTCCAGCGCCACGCCCCTCCCGACGGGAGGTGATTTTGCCAGCACGAGTGTCGGCCACGGGGATTTTGCATCCAGTGCGCCGCTCGTTTAAATGTCCCCGGATCTCAAAGCGCCTTGCATCACGTCTCGCCTTAATCATTCCAATGCCCTGCTGGTTAAAAAAAAAATGTTTTTAGTTTATGGTTCGTGGCTGATCCTAAAGGGGTGCAGGGTGGGGGGGGGTAATGGGGTAATGAGAGCAACCCCCCATCCCATGAGAAAGAAATTGGATGTATGTTGTTAAAATGTTGAGCCTCTATTTTTTTAAACAATCCTAATCTCGTGCCACGCCCTGCCGCTCCGGGGAGATTCTAGATCGGCCTCCGGGTGTTCACAGCGAACATCACTGACCTATAACTATTCTCTCTGGTCAATTTGAATAAAACACCAAAGTTTTGGGTCTCAAAATGGGGTGGGGCAGGTGATCACTCCCATAACCCCCCCCCCCCCTCACCCTCACCCCTGACGAGCACCTCTGCTATTTTCCAGCCTTGAGAAAGCAGTGACGGAAGCGATGCACAAGGCATTCTGGGACATCCTGGAGACGGAGCTGTTGAGGGATCCCCCAGAATTCAGCGGGGCGCTGCGTCTCATGGGGGAAATCCAGGAGGTGAGTCGTCCGAGAGTTGTCATTTCCCTTCTCGCCCGAGTCGTCGCTGCGTTTTTTGAAGGCCACGACAACTGTCCCCGTGGGTTTGGGGACACAAAGGCAGTCTAAGGCGCCACGAACCCTCGCACCCTAACCCTGACCTCTGACCCGAGATTGAAAACGGATTTGTTTTAGAACTGCTTTTTGTGTTAAGTTCGTTGTTCTTTCCCCCTCCCCCGTACCTCCAATAAGGATGGTTGGCTACGTACGGTGCCAAAGAAGTTCAACACACAAACGCACATGGCTTAACCCTAACCCTAAAGCCTACTCGTAATCCATGCTGTTGCCGCTGCCGACTGTCGGCACGATGCTGCGGCTGACGATCTTGGTGCCATAACGACAACCGTCTCGCCCTCCTCCTCCGCCGCTCCCACGGCACCTGCACCAACTCCCCGGCGCCGGCTCCTAGACGCTGCTGTCCCTGCTGCCGAGCCCGACCCGGCGCTCGCTGCTGCCGGAGTCGCTCGATGCCGGACTGCTGATGCAGCAGGCGAAGGCGGGGACGCTGGACGTGGTGGAGGTGGGCGGCTCGGTGGTGCGCACGATGGCGATGCTGTGCGCGCCCATGCGCGACGCCGACGTGCGAGCGCTGGCGCGGCTGGCGGAGGATGCCGCCGGTGATAAAGGCCGCAAAGACGTCAAGATGGCGGTGTCACTGTACCGGTGCGTGCGATCGAGTGTGTGCGTGTAGGTTGCCTCAAATGAGTACCCGGCGCAGTGTGCAGTGAACATTGCTACGAGGAAGACAAAGGCGGCCGGGCGTGGTGCTGGCCACCCACCTCCTTGGGTGCCGTGCCTCCCTTTGTAGCTACTCACTAACAGCACTTGCCTATATTAAAAAAAATAAGACGTGCGATCAGAAACTCGTCCAGAATGCATTCCCTTGGTGAACCCAAGTTGGCCACACGTGCATGGCACATGGTTTGAGTGTCAGCTAGGCACATGGTGCATCACGGTATGAGTATCAAAGCATTTGTCGTTATCCTCCGTGTGTCTGTCCCTGCGCATCTGTCTTGTCTCTGCCTCTCTCTGTCTCTCTCTCCATCCCCCGGGTTGTCTTCCTCCCAGCGAGATCTTCCGAGTGCTGGACCTCATGAAGCAGGACTACGCCAACTTCTCCATCCGCTGTGTGCGCCCGTGGCTGCAGGCCAACGCGGGCCGCTACGAGCAGTCTCAGTTTGATCACTTCCTGCGCGCTGAGCCCAGTGAGTGGCACGGCATGGCGATGCACGGCGCTTGTCCCCCGTCGTTTATAACGCAGCTCGCAACCCGTCTGGGTGTTTCCGCTGTGGGCGTAGTCGAGGGTTTTTCATATCTCGCTCGATATTTTGCACGTAAGTACGTACGTTGAACTCTTAATCGCTTTCAACACGCCGCTGCTGCTGGTGGAAGGGCGTCCGCTAGAGAGAGCGGCATTTCGCCTACTCTGGCCAGCTCTTGTATGCTGGCCAGGCATCTCAGAAGATGTGGGAGTAGCCTACAGCTGAATGACGAACATACATACATATTCTAGATTTGAAGCTTTCGTGACTGCAATGATTCATATTCTTAGGTTTTTTCGGTAAAGTCACGTAGGTAAAAACATTAAAAAGTAAAATAAAAAAAATAAAAAAATCACGACGTTTCGGAGGCAACACAAGCTTCCGTCTTCAGGTGGTACCGTCACAGCCACTTTTTAATGTTTTTACCTACGTGACTTTACCGAAAAAAACCTAAGGATATACATACATATGTTGAACTTCTTTCGCACCGTACCTAGCCAACCGTGCTAATCGGAGGTGCGGGGAAGGACAACAAACTAAACACAAAACACTGCTCAGGCAGGCTTGGAGTAGGGATGAGTGGAGTAGAGAACGACCACTGGAGTGCAAGGAACGCCCGTCCAGAGTAATTATAAAGAATACCGGCAATTTTGCGAGTTCAAATCCTGGTTGTGGGGTGTTGGGGGTTTGACTCTGCCAATTAACCCTTCTAGTAGCGATACAATGAGCATCAGTCTGCCTGGAGTGAGTCAACAATGGTTGACTTGCTATTTATACCCCCCCCCCCCCCATAGGAATGTGGAATTTCCTCCACGATCTCAGGATAGTAAACATTGGATGAATGTAGGTAGAAAAATCTAATAAAATACAAAATTACATGTTATTATTATTTATTTTATTTTATTTTTCTACCTACGTGACTTTACCGAAAGAACCAAAGTGGATGGATTCCTGCAGTCACGAAAGCTTCAAATCAAGATTGGATGAACGCCTCAACAAACACTCAGCAGCAAATTGACCTGACTTAGACTCGTGTGTATTGTCTAGTTAATGCCACGCACGCGTGCGTGCGTGCGTGCGTGCGCTGTGCTACAAACCCGGCGAACCAAGTTCGATTTCCGCTCACGGCAAACGCCAGTGGCAATTATCTGAAATGGTCCTAGGCATCCCTTAGGTCGGCTCAGTCTCAAACGAGTACCTGGTGCGATTTGTGTAAACATCGCCACTCGAGCGTGGCGCTGTGCCGCCCACCCCCTCGTGTGCCCCACACGGTTGGCTACATGCCGGGCGGAGAGAAGTTCGACATAATACATACGTGCGTGCCTTGATAGGTTCTCGCTAATACCACTTGCCCCAAAAAAACCTGTCAAGTCTATGCAGGAGATCTTTGTGTGTGCCCACACGTATGCATCTCCTTACGCGTGTGCCCACGTGTGTGTGTGTGCGCGCCCTTAGACGCGCTGGAGCTGACGCGGCGCTGGCTGGAGGCAGCCGTGAGCCACACGCCGTCGCGCGCCAGCGTCTTCACACCCGGTGCCACTGCCCGCACCCCAGGGGTCGTGACCCCCGTGCTCGATCCCTCGGTCGTGCTGAGCCAGGCCTTCCTCGACCTGCTCGCCTGGGAGCCAGGCGAGCCCTACCCAGAGGTGCGTGCGTGCGTGCCGGGGAGTGGGAGAGCGTCAGTGGAGTGTCTTGCGCAAGTGATACGATCCCGGCGACCCCAGTTTCATTGCCCCTTATGACCAACAAGAGTGGCGAATGTCTGAACCGGTCCTGGGCCTTCTCTAGGTTGACTCGGCCCTAAATGAGTACCTGGAGTGGTCTGTAAACATCAGCACTTGAGAGTCAATGGTGGTCAGGCGTGGTCCTGGCCCTTATACGTGTTCGCCATACTGGTCGAGATAACCGCTCTTTATAGCACTTGCCCTTAACGGTTGTGTGGGCTACATGGCGGGGGTGGTATCTTTGCCTGTGTATATGTACGCGTGTGCGCGTGTGTTGGTGGTGGTGGTGGGGGTGGTGCAGTAGTTAGCGTGCTGTGCGATGAACCCGGCGACCCAAGTTCGATTCCCATTCATGGCCAATATTGGCGACGAATATCTGAACTGGTCCTGGACTTTCCCGAGGTTGACTCAGCCTCAAATTAGTACCCGGCGCGATGTGTAAACATCGCCACCAGGGAGACAAAGGCGGCCGAGCATGGTGCTGGCCACCCATCCCCTCGTGTGCCATGCCAGACTTCATAGGTGCTCGGTAACCGCACTTACCCCAACAGTCTGTTCAGGCTATACGGGTGATATTTGTCTTTGGTGATGTCAGTGGTTGCCTCGGCGGTGGCGGTGGATCGCGGGCGCCTGGTGGAGGCGGCCTTCCAGTCGGTGCTCGCGAACTGCACTTGACCCAACAGTCTGTTAACGCTATACAGGGGATCTTTCTCTTTGTTGATGGTGGCGGTGGCGGCGGCGGCGGCGGGTAGACGGTGGCGGCGGACCGCGGGCGCCTGGAGGAGGCAGCTGGGCATGTGCGGCGCCTGCGGGTGCAGGCGAGCGTGCTGCTGGTGCTGTGTGGTGGCGGCTGGGCGCGCGAGCTGGTGCGCGGGCAGCAGGCGTTCCTCGCTCACGCCAAGCACGTGGTGGACGCGCTCACGCAGGGAGCCTGCCACCCGTATGAGACGCACCGCCCGCACCGCCCGCACCACCTTCGCGATTACGCCAACTCCGTCTCCCTTTCTCACGTTCTTGTTGCCGTGCTCGATTCGAGAATGTACACCTTCGGCGGCCTTGTTTGTTGCTGGCCGCTTGCTATTTTGGCCCCTGTGCCTCAGTTGCTGTGCTTTAATAACAATTCTAGATTTGAAGCTTTCGTGACTGCAAGGATTCATACTCTTAGTTTTTTCGGTGAAGTCACGTAGGTAAAAAATGAAATTAAAATGAATAAAAGCTGTGACGGTCCCACCTGATGACGGAGACTTGTGTTGCCTCCGAAACGTCGTGATTTTTATTATTTTATTAATTTAAATTTTATTTTTTACCTACGTGACTTTACCGAAAAAACTACGAGTATTTAATAACAAAACATCTGCTGATGTCTCCTCGCTCCCGTGCGTCTCCCCCCGCTCCCCCGCCCCCCATTCGTGCGTCTCTCCACTCATCGTGTCTCAGCCCGGCCATGCTAGCCGAGGCGCTGGGTGCCGTGTCGGAGCAGCTCGACGTCGATCTGTGCCGCCTGGCCGAGCAGCGAGGCCTCCACGAGACCCCCGCGGCGGCACGCGCCGCCCTGTGCGGCCAGATCCGGGACCTGTGCAAGCCCGGCAACCCAGTCGCGTCACTCGTGGGTGCGTGGGCACGTGGGCGTTTGTGTGCGTTTGTGTGCGTTTGTGTGCGTTTGTGTGCGCTAGCCTAGTGACAGCAGTGCAGGGACGGTACGGCGGTGGAAAGAGCCGCCACCCCCCCCCCCCCCCCCCCGTATTTTCCCATAATTCTCCTTTCCTACAGAGCCACCCCCTCTTCTGTCAGCGCTACCAGTCACGTGACCCAGGCCTGCCGACCAATTGGCTGGTGACATTATCAAGTCAAATCCCGAATCCGTTTCCTGGGGCTACATTAGCGAGCACTTGGAACAGAAAGTTACAAAGGGCATTTGTTTCATCAGCCCGGCCTGCGTCCGTCTGCAGCACGGTAGTTCATGTTCGGTGGGTCGTGTGTGTGTGTGTGACCAGCACAGGCGCACACTTGGGAAGGATTGAATTGTATTTGACACAAGTCTCTGTCTGTTCACACAGTCGTGTGGACGTTTCTGTAACTTACTTTTTGTATGAAGTTTTTTAAAAGTAATTTTAGCCAATTTTTATTCGAGGAAATACATCCTTTTTTATATGTATTCATGTTTTTTTTGCAGTATCTTTGATTAATTCTGTAATGTAATGTTTTGCTGTCCGCTTCATTGTTCTACCTATTCTTACTGTAGATTGCTTTTCCCATTTTGGTGACCCAGTGTTTCACGTACAACTGACGCTATCCTTGTCTCTTGCCTCTTGCATTCTCACCTGGTTTTACAAGATAAACTTTACACTTAAACTAATGATTACACGCGTATTTCAAACACTTAAATGTTAATGCTGCCTTCCTTAAAAACCAACGTCCCATTGGTTCATGTTTTGATTTAGTTCATGGGCGCCACGGTGGCAAGATGTTAAATACTTCGCTTGGTATACAAGAGGTTGTGGGTTCAATCCCGAGCCTGATGTCTGCTGAATATTTGGTGTCTGCATGTTGTCCTCGTGGTCGCGTGGATTTTTCTCCGGGTTTTCCCTCCACATTTAGAGTATGTGGCTGCAATAAATGTGCACATGATAAGCCACTTCATTGAGTTATCATTTGTGACAGCCAGATCACTTCTGAAAAGAGCTATGCAGCTCGGTGGGTCTTACCTGGTGAACTAAAAAATAGTTTATAGTTTTAATTTATCCACCACAGCTGTTGACGAGGGACCGTGTTTTTGTTGCGTGTGCTCTGCCCGGCCGCCCCCCCCCCCCCCCCACCGTCTCAGCGAGCCGCGTGAACGACTACCTGAAAGGGGTTGTGGAAGGACGGTCGTCCATTTCGATGCCAGGAGGACTTGCGCCGGTGGGGCCGGAGCTGGAAAACGTGGCTATGAAGTAAAATTCACTTTCCTTTAATCACATTCTCTCCTCACAATCATTAAAATAATCTGTTCCCCTTGTTACTACAGACCGGGTTCTAATACAATGCGGATGTTAAAACAGTGTTTGTGAATTTCCAGTTGAGAGCACTAGATAATCTGAAAGAAGCCTCGTGTTGGCATTGTGAGCCTCGTGAACCACAAATGAAATAAGGATAATAAAATGAGCTTTTCTCTGGCTTGATGAGAATTGGGGATTAACACTGAAACCCTAACAATCCCAAAGCAACCTTATTCTGACCCTACGTTTACTGGTGACATTGTCATTACATGGACTCTTAAGAAATAGAAATTGTTACTCTTAGAAATACTTCCGCTGAATCATTGCCATATCTCTTTTTCCCCATTGCCCATTCGCCATTGCAGGTTTGCCCGCCTGGTGATGCACAACCGCAACGTCTTCGGAACCCACTACTTGCGCATCCTCTGTGGTCTCATCGTGTCACCGGCGCAGGCAGGCCTGCCAGGCAAGGCCTAGGCTTCCCCCGTCGGTCTCCACGACAAACTCCCCCTTCTCCCTTGCCCAGAAGTCGCAACCGGGTACCCGATACCCGTAACCTACCCGATACCCGTACCCTACCCAATACCCGGCGACCCGTACCCGGCCGGGTACGGGTACCCGTTTGCGACCCTGGTGCGGCCGGGTACGGGTACGGGTAAACCGTGAGTCACTGGTGAGTAACCGTTTGTCACTCATTTCCCAACGTCTTGTGTTTTCTCACAATTCAAGTTCCTAGAATCAACCCACCCGCGCCTGCAACGTGGCTTCATCCCAGAGGTCGCAATCGGGTACCCGTACCCTACCTACCCGATATCCGGCCGGGTATGGGTAGCCGGGTATTGGGTAGGGTACGGGTACCCGTTTGCGACCCTGGTGCGGCCGGGTACGGGTACGGGTAAGGGATCAAAACCCGTTTGCGACCTCTGCCCTTGCCCCCTCAAAGTTAAAGACTTAATCAGGACAAGGCGGTTGACTTTCTTGTCGTCTGATTGGTCAATAGGGCGCCATACAAATTGTTTCGATTTAAAGCTTTCGTGACTGCAGGGATTCATCTTCTTGGTTCTTTCGGTAAAGTCACGTAGAAGGGAAATAATAAAGTAATAAAAATAAAACATAATAAAATAATTCTCACGACTTTCCGACAGACCTGTTCTTCACCTGAGGACGGCTGCTTGCGTTGTGGCCGAAACGTCGTGAGAATTATTTTATTATGTTTTATTTTTATTACTTTATTATTTCCCTTCTACGTGACTTTACCGAAAGAACCAAAAAGATACAAATTGTTGATCTGGGTCATGTGACTGGCGGTGCTGATGGAAAGGGGCGGCTCGAGAAAAGGGGAAATATGGGAGAATGTAGGGGGCTTTTCACACCGCCGTATCGTTAATATTATTCTATAGTTTTCGATTTGGAAACGTTGGTATATATATATATAAACTTTGAATTACAATTTGAAAAAGAAAAATATATATAGATACAAAAACTATGCATTTACGTTATGAAAATCTTTATTAAGCAAAAGAAGTGCATTTTTTTTTTTACTAAAATGCTTTTTTAACTTTGAACAAAAAGGTAAAAAAAATGGTGCAAAAATTATAAAAGACAGTTCACTGCCTGTAGTTACTGAAGATTTTTAAGGCTTTCAAGTCACCATGGTAAAGTGGTGGGGGGGGGGGGGCATTTTGTGGTGCAAAGATTTCCGTAATCCAATCCCGTCTCATCAGAGCCAGTGGTGGAAATTCCACGTTCTATATGGAATGTACAATCTATACTATTATATTGGCATGAGATGATGTTGATGATGGTTATAATTAGGCTACCAAATGTCTAACCCTTTTCCATGAAGTCTGTCCCGCTTCCGCTCACCCAATAATATTTTTCAAAAATTGGGGTTTATCGCCGGTTTAAAATACTCTGGCTTCACGGTCAACTCCTTATACAGGGACTCCTCTGCTTACGAACATTCGACTCGCGAACTTTCAGAGATACAAACCTGTCCGTGTGTCCAGTTGCCTGTTCGGACCGAGAGTCGAAAGTTCAACCGCCGAGCAATAGATGGTGGTGGCGACATCTACATCTGCAGAACGTGAAGAACCAGTGACATCTACATCTGCAGGCGCTTAAACAACTTTTAAAGCCATTCCCCGTCTTCTTGGTTCTTTCGGTAAAGTCACGTAGAATGGAAATAATAAAAGAATAAAACATAATAAAATCATTCTCACGACGTTTCGTCCACAACGCAAGCAGCCGTCCTCAGGTGGAGAACAGGTCTGTCGAGACGACAGCGTCTGAATGACACACCCCAGGCTTGGAGCGTCTATTTAAGCGTACAAACCGTACAACGTGTTTGTAATCGACGGGAGTAAAGTTGGGCTTGCGAACAAATCGACTTACGAGCAGACCTCTGGAACCTAACTCGTTCGTAAGTAGGAGGAGTCCCTGTCTCGACAAAGGGGTGGCGCTAGCTCGCTCTGTAAGCTGCTACCTGTGTAGTGGACAGAGCCTGTGATGAGCAGCAGTAGGCGGAGCCGATATCAAAAAGTGGGCGGGTCCCTGTGACAGTGGGCGGGGCCCTATAAACGTGGGTTTTACCATCTTGCAGATTTGAACACAGGGTGCGATTAAAACAATTTTGGCCAGATAAATTTGTTAGAGCGAGAATAGATTTTGAAATTTTAAGCTTCTGGATGGCAGTCAGAGTATTCTGACCACGGAGCGTACAGGCCGATATAAAACAATATATATATACCCCCCCTCACCCCACTTTGCCCCAGATATAAAAAGGTGCTTTGATCGTGGTTCTTACAGTGATAGTATCCACATTTAACGTAGAGTATACAGTACGCTGTGTTGCGTTTTGGTCAAAACGTTTTGAGAGCAAACCGTCCAAAGAAATGGCTCTCGTTAAATTTCACACGCAACAGAATGTTATAATTATGATATAGTGTTATGTATACCTGTCAACCCCTTATCAGTGACTACCTTATTGCAGACCAATTCAGACTTCATTGGTCAGCCCGTGCTCTTAAAAATCTCAACGTTCATCCTACAAAGTCCCATCACGGGGGAGAAACACAAACAAATTTTACAAAAATTATTGTTTTTGTGCTCTTATTGAAACGGCTGTACGCCGTATGGACCTGAAAACTCAATTTCCCTGTACAATAATACGGGGTAAACAGTATGGGTTGACAGGTATGGTTACGTCTATGAATCGTGACGTCGGTTTGTGTGTGTACGTGTAAGTCTGGAATCGGGTCAGGTTGGGTCACAACGCGGTTCACTAACCACTGTGCGCCGCTTCTGCACCCAGTTTTTAGGTTCACGTTAATGAAAACTTTTTAGTATTTAATCCTCGAAGCTTTTTTGACCACATCTCGTACACAAACGAGCGCGTCTGTGATTGATGATGTCGATGGTATATACCGAGTCAAGACGGAGTTATTCAAGTCGTAATCATGTTCTGTGTTTTTTTTTGGTCTCCAGTTGTGCTGCCTCGCTGGTGTTGTTTTATTTCTTGTTCTAAACTAACCAAATTTTTACTATGATTCTGGTGTTCCGTGTAAATGAGGGCTTCATTTCTCACCCGATATTTTCTGGAATGCTCCTGGGTCTGGCTTGGAGGAGGGATTCGCGCCGTAAGGCACGACCACGAGAGTATAGTGTACGCCTCTCCGTAATATATCTTATATTTATCGTATTTTATACCGGCTTGATGGCTCCGCTGTAGAGCAAGGGAATCGCTTAAATTTGTATCACTCTGTAGGGGTAGTCAACGGTGGCTCCGTGGTCGTAAACAGGAGATGAACACTTCCTCGGTGCTCATTTCAGCAACAAATCACCTCGACTTTTTATATTCCTATAATCCTATGAACCAGTATTTTTTTTTTATTAATATGAAATGCAGCACCACGAGGACAATATAAGGCAAGATGGGCTGTGACGTACCAGAATTATTCCCAGAAGAGCCTTCCGGACTGCTCCGGATGAAATGAAGCACTCGGGTGTTTGTGGTTGTGCTCGCTGGACTAACTCTGCTTCCACCAGCAATTGAGGGCATTGCGCGTTTTCCTCCGAGCAAACGTTCTCTGCGGGTGAATGCGCGGGAGGTTTTTGTTTTTTACATTTGACGTTGCGTGGACGCGACCACCGCCGGGCCGTTTTGGACGCTCACTTTGTCGCGTAAGGGATACACGACCCTTATCAAAAACCAATGTGGACCTCTCAAATTGTCAAGCAAAGCTGTAGTGGTGGTGCCAAGGCATAAGTGAACTTGGCAAAAAGCATAGAGCTCCCAAGTCGCTCAAGGGAATTCTGGTTTCTTGAGGAAAATAAATAGTGGTCCGCCAAATATCATCTTGATGCATATAAAACAAAAAGAAACCGCGCGATTGTTGTGATAGTAAGTGGTCTATTGACACCAGTTCACACTATCGTGGTATCATTACTTTGTGTAGCTTGTCCGTATCATGTTGGCAGTCACATGATGCACTCGGGCATCATTTCTGCATTGCACGTGCTGGTCGGTGACGGCCGCTGTTCGACGATGCCAGTCTTACGCTTTGAGACGTCCGACGGCGGCGGTGGCTTTTTCTTCCTTTGGAAATAAAACGCATCGTTGTTTGAAATGAAGATCCTATTCGCTTTATCTTATGTACGTACTATGTTGAACGTTTCGATTTAAAGCTTTCGTGACTGCAGGGATTCATCTTCTTGGTTCTTTCGGTAAAGTCACGTAGAATGGAAATAATAAAAATAAAACATCATAAAATAATTCTCACGACATTTCGGCCACAACGCAAGCAGCCGTCCTCAGGTGGAGAACAGGTCTGTCGAGAAGACAGAGTCTTCAGACTGAAGACTCTTGTCTTCTCGACAGACCTGTCGGATGCTGTCTTTCCGACAGCCCTGTTCTTCACCCTATTTCCCTTCTACGTGACTTTACCGAAAGAACCAAGAAGATGAATCCCTGCAGTCACGAAAGCTTTACATCGAAACTCCAAGGGTGTTACTATTTCGGTTACTTGGGGGGGGGGGAGGGCATGTTGACGAATTGCTGGATATTAGCCCATTGCTGCTACACAAACCTATTTTGCTTCCTTTTTCTCCAAAAGGAGACTCGCCCTTGCCTTTGTGACCAAAACATGTTTCTGTGCCCCAGTGTGTGTGTTAAGTTTCTTTCCAATAACTTGGATCTCTGCCTCAGTTCATTAAGTCTCCCCCTCCACCCCCAAGTCTTTTCAGTAGGGGTCTCACCGATTTGAACCCTTTGGGGTTGGCGTGTTAGGACGTCTCTATCGTTACTCCCATGGTTGATGCTTCCGTGAACTTCGCTCAACCGATTCCCCCACCCATTGTGAGGATGGGACCTCTGTGAAAATACTGGACATCTCTGAAAAACAGCTTTGTAGCTCATCGAGTTCCTCCAGTATACACAAATATTATTCAGATTCTGACTGGGCCTACCAGACACCGACTTGTTTCCTGTCATCCCCAATGTGTCTAGGCACCGCCACCAACACTTCAGATCGCAACACTTCCCGCTCTAACTCTTCCCTCGCACTGCTCCACTTTGGAATTCATCCCATCGTTTCTTTTTATTTTTTCCTGAGCTCTTCTGAGTCTTACTCCGTTCAAGAAACCAGTTAAACATTTAGGTGATACTGTTTGTAACTGGATGTTGGGCATTTGGGCCCTTTTGGGCCTGTGCTGTATCTGGAATATATGTTACGCTTGCTTAAACGTCTCGGCAACTCAAACGCACCTTAACGTTACATCTCATATTCTTGGTTCTTTTGGTAAAGTCACGTAGAAGGGAAATGATAAAATAATACAAATATAAAACAATAAAAATTCTCACAACGTTTCGACTGCAACACAAGCAATCACCATCAGGTGTGAAATCCACTGGGATTTTTTACCGAAAGAACCAAGAATATGAATCCCTGTAGTCATGAAAGCTTTAAATCAAAATTTAACAGTCACATCTCATCTCAAACATTCCAAGTGCACCCCCAGTGGCAGCCCTCCCTGTGTGGCGAAAGGCACCTCGACACCTGGTCTGACAGGGAGCGATGATTGGCGATTAATGCTGTGTTTGTCATCACAGATGAGTCATTTGCGGTGTAATTTGGTCTACTTTGGCAAATTCTGACCGTGACGTCTGCATACAATGGCCCCGCTGGTTCCAATTGGGAAGGACTGGGGAATGTGATTGGCTTTGTGGCATGCGTCGCTGGAAAAGTGATTTGGAAACTTATTCAACACTATGAGACCTTCTTTACCAGTGGCAAAATATAGTAATAGGTTTTTACCCTTTCAACTGGTACAAAAACTGACACCTTTATACAAGGGATCATGTTTGCAATAACCGCAACACAAGCAGTCAAAATGCAAACAAAAAGAAACAACTCTGATGATGATAATGATATGCACTGTCCTTGAAGTTGATTGGTCCACACCCGAGACAGCTTTTCTTAGAGCCTAGTCATCATTATCAGAGTTGTTTCTTTTTGTTTGCATTTTGACTGCTTGTGTTGTGGTTATTGCAAACATGATCCCTTGTATAAAGGTGTCAGTTTTTGTACCAATTGAAAGGGTAAAACCCTATTACTAACTTATTCAACGTTGATGAATGAGACATCTTAGCGGTGCAAGGCAACAACACGGGGGGGGGGGGGGGTGGTGTATTTTTACCACCCATATTGTTCTGTGTCACATCATAGGGATTATATATGCTAACCAGATTAAATAAATGTAATCCATACAGGTACTCGACTTACGAACGAGTTAGGTTCCAGAGGTCTGCTTGTAAGTCCATTTGTTCGCAAGTCGAACTCTACTCCCGTCGATTCCAAACACGTTGGACGGCACGTACATTAAACACGGGGAATGGCTTTAAAAGTTGTATAATCTCCTGTAGATGTAGATGCCACTGGTTCTTGACGTTATGCGAATGTAGATGCCACCGCCGCCAAAGATTGCTCGGCGGTCTGAACAGGTGACTCGACATACGGAGACAGGTTTGTTTGTTCTCGATTTGAAGCTTTCGTGACTGCAAGGATTCATAGTCTTAGGTTTTTTCGGTAAAGTCACGTAGGTAAAAAAATTAAAATTAATAAAAGTAAAATAAAAAATAAAATAAAAATCACGACGTTTCGGAGGCAACACAAGCTTCCGTCTTCAGGTGGAACCGTCACAGCACGATAGCTGTATTTTACTTTTATAAATTTTATTTTTTACCTACGTGACTTTACCGAAAAAACCTAGGAATAGGTTTGTTTGTATCTTTGAATGTTCGTAAGTCGAATGTTCGTAAGTAGAGGAGTCAGTGGAGCTGACTTTTACATGGGGGGGCGTGGCTATTGCCTTATATGGTCAATGACGTCATGCAGGAGGCGGGGCGATGGGCGGGGCTATGGTAATTAGAAGGCATGGTCCGGCGTAAACACGGAGAGGGCGCGCGCCGTATGCCGCGACGTCATCACACGGCTGCAGCCGACACGGCCATCTTGCTGCGGGAAGTTTAACGCGATGATGGGAGGGGATTAGTGGCGCATCGCGTTGACGTCACGTACAGAGACTTAGCAGGGGAGTAGTGGGGGGTGGGGAAGTAGTGGGGAGGGAGTAGGGGGGGAGTAGTGGGGGTGGGTGACTAGAGGGGGGGGGGGGGTGACTAGAGGGGTGGGGAGTAGTGGGGGGGGAGAGTAGTGGGGGGGGGAGTAGTGGGGGGGGGGAGTAGTGGGGGGGGAGTAGTGGGGGGGGAGTAGTGGGGGGGGGAGTAGTGGGGGGGGGGAGTAGTGGGGGTGGGGGAGTAGTGGGGGGGGGAGTAGTCGGGGGGGAGTAGTGGGGGGGGGAGTAGTGGGGGTGGGGGAGTAGTGGGGGAGTAGTGGGGGGGGGGAGTAGTCGGGGGGAGTAGTGGGGGGGGGAGTGGGGGAGTAGTGGGGGGGAGTAGTGGGGGGGGTGACTAAAGGGGGGAGAGTGGGGGTGGGGAGTAGGGGGGAGTAGTGGGGGGGGGTGACTAAAGGGGGGAGAGTGGGGGTGGGGAGTAGGGGGGGGGTAGTGGGGGGGGTGACTAGAGGGGGGAGTAGTGGGGGGGGGGTAGTAGGGGGAGTAGGGGGGGGTAGTGGGGGAAGTAGTGGGGGGGTGGGGTAGTAGTGGTGGGGGGGGGTTACTTCCCTGAGCAAGATGGCCGACTGAGGTTGGGGGGTGTTCTGGTCGCCCATCTGAAGCCGTTCTGTGGGCGGAGAAGCGGCCGGTTCATTGGAGCCGGTAGCGAACGACTGCATCGCGAAATGGACTGGCTCATCGGGTGAGTCTCCGTGTCCACCACGGTTCTACCCTTTGCCTCTCCTCCCCCCTAAGCTATGGTCACCGCTGCCCTTCTCGACCGTCTGTGTCACTCTCGGCAGCGGCCGAGGCCCGCGAGGCCTAAGTCAGACCCCGACCCTCGACTAGATCCTGCGGCCGGGCGAGTTCGGGTTCCCGTCGAGGCACGAGTCCCGAGTCAGGCTAGGCCTCTACGGGGTCGCGACGGAAAGTGGTGTTAATGAATTGTCTTAATGTTTGGTCACGTTTTTGGGGGGTACGTTTTGGTAAAGTACTCTCTGTTGCTTTGCGTCAAGCGAGGCGGTATTATATTGGGAAGCGGTCCGTTAAAGAAAATGTGATGGGAACGTGTTAACTTTTAGGTGCATGCTGTGGTCGGGCGTGCAGTGTACATTGTGTATAAACAAGGAACTCACGGACTTGCATTGCAAACAACTACTGTACATTACATTAAAAAACATACACGTACAACAACGGCAGCCGACATTCGCCTCTTAAGTGACGATTGTACCAGGCTAGGTTCGCCTACACGGCGAGGTTAAGTCTGGAAGGCTCTCCGCTGGAATAAAGTGACAGCACACACAACCAGGTTGCTATCGGCTGCCTGAGATGACTGTCAGATGCACCACATGCCCCGAACACTTTGACACATTTAGCACGTACATGCAGTCCACTGTATATGCACATACGCGAGATTTGCATACGTACACAAAAATAATATCCTTAACAGACTGTTGGGGCAAGTGATATTAGCGAGCACATATGAAGGCCGGGACGGTACCACGCCCGGTCGCCTTTGTCTCCCTTAGTGTTTCCATATCGCACCAGCTACTGTGCTCATTTAAGGCTTAGTCGACCTAAGGGAGGCCCAGGAGTAGGGTCAAGTACAGTCATCGTCACTGGTGTTGGGCGTGAGCCTGAATCGTCGTGTGTTTTAAAGCGCAGTTGGAGAACAAGAGATGTGGAAAGGGGATTTAACGCTGAAAGTGCAACATACACACAAGCGTCTAAACCAATTAAGAAGATATTGAGAGCAAACTATGAATCAATCAGTGGGAACAGCGAAAAAGTAGTTGATTTGGTAAATCACACGATAGGCCGTGGATAGCGATATTGAACCATAATCATGATTGATTTGAAGCTTTCGTGACTGCAGGAATTACTCTTTGGTTCTTTCGGTAAAGTCACGTAGAAAGAAAATAAATTCAATAATAGAATACGACGTTTCGATTGCAACACAAGTAACCGTCATCAGGTAGAACTAAATTTGAGAGACAAAACAGACACGGAGACACATAGACACA